CAGAGAAAAATGGAGGGTACAAGCATGTGAAATCTTGGAACAAAACATCCAAAGCGCTTGTTTCACTGACATTGTCAAGTTCATTGAGAAACAGCTCAGAATTGCTTCAGATCTAGTCTCAAATGAAAACACCTTTCAAGAGAAACAGTTTATTGACTCGTGTCTATTTCTGACGAGTTAAAATCAGATGCTCAAATGAATAAGGCACAAAAAGGAGTTATCCCCTGTAATAAGCCAAACCAGAATTCCTGTATGTATTGTACATGTGGCCATGCATTGGAGCAATGTCTACAACTGGAGTAAAAGACACACCGGGACAAATTAAACTTTCTAAAGGAGAAAGTTTTTGGTTGCTTATGCACAGGGCATTTAAGCAAGAATTGCGACAGGCCCATTACTTGCAGACACTAAGGGCTTTCTGATGTTTTCACTCATAAGGAATTGGCTAAGAGGCCATTTCTGAAGGGGAAAGATTCCTTTCATAAAAGCTAATGTGGACTTGTTAATGGGTACCAATACCTCCAAGGTGATGGAGCCTTGGGAGGTTATTAGTCAGTGGAATGGACCATATGCCATCAGAACCTTATTGGGGTGGGTGATTAATGGCCCATTAAAGGGAAACGGTGACAAGCAAAGTCTGAGTGGTTACCCCGAGGTTACTGTTAATAGAACTATTACAACCAATACAACCATGACTTCAATGAGGGAACCTCCAAAGACCAAGAGGAGATGTCAAGGGAGGAAAGGAAATTTGTTGAAATTATGGAAAGCTCTGTTCAGCTTTTGACATTGTTTTTCTGCGTACACGTTAGAAACAATAATCCACATTAGCAACCGGTAGCGGCTAAGTAAAGGACATAGTCACTACAATAATAACAGACATTAAATAGGCTACCTTAACGTTAGTTAAAACGTTAAATGTTTCTGATAAGGATTTTATTTTAATATTGAGTAATATGTACGATAATCACAGACAAATGTATTTCTGCATCAGTGTGGGGCAAAGAAAACAACAGAAACGATTTACAGACTGTACAAACAGATTGTCTGTCTGTCTGTAATGTTACTTTCAGCTATTTTCTCTTTCATACGCGGCTGGTAATTAAACAGAAAATATAAAAAGGCCGAACATTAGATGAAATAGTGTAACTTTATCTTATCATGACAGCAGCGGGGTAGAAATTACTTTTAACATGAAGGCGATAAAGAAATACTTAGAAATGGACTACGTGTCCTCGTGCTGATAATGTGCCATGCTTGTGTGTCTAGACAAAGTGCTCTGGGATACTTTTGCTTCAGGTGCTCATGCTGCTTCATGTATTTGTGGACAGCAGTTGTGCTGCGGTGAAGCCATTTACAATTTGCGCAGCTCACAGAGCACCACTTTGTTGAGTTGTCTAAAATACTCCCAGACTTTGTCAGTTGAAGGCGCAGTCTTGTATCTGCAGCGCGTAATGCAAATCGGCATATTTTCGTAATCGATTATGTTGATGAATCGCCCCAGCCCTAAAACACTTTCAATTCAGCTCCCTTTAATTTGCGATCTCTTGCATTGTTCTCAAGCAAATGTCTGGATTAGAGGGTGGCTACCCAACCCCAAGCCCAACGGGACCCAACGGGACCCAATGGGACGCAATGGGTCTAGACATGATTCTTCAAAGTCTTTTTAGTAAAATTATAGTGTAAAAATAAATAAAAGTGATGGACCTACTGGCTGTGTGTTCACTGTGTTGCGCTACTATCCTGCTGTTCAGCGATAGAGTTTGCAATTTACGTCACTTGGCAGCAATGACTACATAGGCTACACACACAACAATTGCGTGACATGGTAGCACAAACTCAGTGCTTCAGCTTACGTTAACTGCATCGGGTTCAGATCAGGTTCGGACATAAAAAGCAGAATGCCTGTCGGTTTTGGGCCAGGCTTGGTTGCGACTCTCTCGGACTGGGATCGGTTTCAGACATAAATATGCAGCCTCCTGGGCTTTAGTCTGGATATCAAATGGCTAAATAGAAATGTTCCTATTAATTGTACAGTTTCACCGGTCATCCCCACAGAACATGATCTGTCAGAGCAGTATCTTTACTAACATGGTAGAAACTAAAGGGAAACCAGTTCAAATGACTTTTGGTTTGTACGTCTTGTGACCGCTCTTATTTTGGACCTTAACTCATTCTACCAGGAGCCAGTGCTGTCTGTGCAGCCCGGGATTCCATTTATGTTGACATTTGCAATGTAGACGTGCTTGTTTGGCAGTTTTGGGAATGACATGATGTTGTAAAGTATACTGTGTCGGTGGTTTAAGTTTGTTCGTTTTTCTGTGCATGCAATGAAGCATTTCTGTGCAGTGTAAACACACAGCTTAGCCATTTCCCTGCTGTGGGTTATAGGTGACACAACAAGGTTTTGTTTGTGACTGTTTATGGCCTGGTGGGAGTATGTGGCACTATATATATATATATATTATACATAGAATCCCATCATTAACCACTGTCAGCAGCTGCTCTGGCAGGCTATTTTAAGCACTCTGATTTGTAATGTCAGAAGAGGTAATGCACAGAGCAGCGTGATGTTTTTTATCATTACAAGCTTCACCTGCCCAGTTCCTTCACACATGTTTGCACACAAACCTTTCACCAAGAGAGGTATGTCCCAACAAGCATGCCCAGGCCATAATGAGCACTCTCCAGTGGCTTCGTCCACTTTAAGCCCCAGTTGAATGAAGCAGTCAATAGGCCAAAGCCAAAGAAAATACCACTTGGAAGTAGGTCAGACTTGTTCAGGGATGAAGCTGAAACTAGGCTGAATAGAAAGTTTAATTAACATTAAAGGCTGTTTTTTTTATTATTCAGAATTAGCTTTGCCATTTTCTGTTGTGTTGAGATAATCATTGTGGAATTTTATCACGCTCTGACTTTGGGGTTTTATTTTAACAAGTTTTTTTGGGGGGGTGTTCTGTATCTCTAGAGATTTAATACAAAGTCAGTTTTTTTTCAATCATTTTAGACACATTAGAGAAAGTGTTTCCAAAATTCATTATTTGTTTGGTGTATAAACTGCTCTAAAGTAGCCAAAAAAATGCCTTTAAACATAAAGCCTAAGGTGATGTCATCTGATTCTCCGTTTTCTCGCCAGTACTCGTAAAAGATTTTCAGTTTACTGTCGCATAGGACAAAGAAAAGCAGCAAATCTTCACAATTTAGAATCAGTGTGAAAAAAAACGTTTAGTTATTTCACATGCTTGACCTTTTAAGTTAGTTTTGATTATTTCATTTCCAACAAACCCCCCACCTGTGACAGATTACATTGGTGACACATCCAGTATTATTCACACAAGAACATTATCAAAGTGGGGCTGTATTCACTACCGGATACTCTATATGTTGTCTGCTCAACAAGGTAACCATTGCCCATCTGTGGTACGTTGGCAATCATTACACATTTACACCCAAAGCAGGTTGACAGGTCCATGATACGCCCCCAACAGATTTAGTCTTGTCTGAGCAGCATGCTAATGCCTTAGCTGACAGCTCTGACTGGCCATCACAGCACAGCTAATTTGTCAGAGTTTTTTCTTTTTTTGAAAACACTCATCACTCTGACTCCACTTGATGAGGTGTGTTCTACCTCTTGTGTCTGCCAATAGTTGTTATTACATGGACTAGTGATGTTAAGGCAGATAAAATGTAAGATAAATTGCAGATGCAGCCTTAAGACATTGTCATGTGTGCATCCAGCAATAGCCAATACAAGCTCAAACCACATTCATCAAGAAGATAAAATAGATGTGTCCCTGAAATGTATTGTTTAAAAACTCTTGGCCACCATCAATCCAAATATATTAAACTGACATATGTACATTAATACCACAGTACTATTAAATTCGATTTTGCATATATAGCGCCAATTCACAACAACAGTTATCTCTTAGCGCTTTTCATAAAAGAGCAGGTCTAGACAGTACTGTGATAATATTTACAAAAACCCAACAATTCCCACCAAGAGCAAGCACTAGGCAACAGAGGCAAGGAAAAACTTATTTTCAGAACCATGGCTCAGGTAGCATTCGTTAATATGCACGGATCTGTTCTTTTAAAATAGTCAGTATCTCCTTTTGCAAAGAAACCCTGCTTGGCCTCTTGTAACACTGATATATCTAAATTGTTATTGCACGGCATAATGTCATTCTCTGATGTGCAGTATAGTCAAGCAAAAATGATGACCTTTAAAAACAGAATCTTCTGCCTCTTGAGGAGTTGTGAGTATTGCTGTGCCAGCCATGATGGAAGTTTGTGATATTCATTTGCACGGTGATCACAAAAATAAGTACTTAAAGCTGGGGTAGGCAATTTATTTTTCATTTTTTGTTGTTGAAATTCTCTTCCCTAAATCAATCAATAAATCACAAAACTGTATAGATATGCCTAGGTATAATCGATAGCTGTTGCAGGACTGTAATAAACTCGTCCATTCATAAGTGGAGGCCTGAAGGGAGGGGGTGGGATTTTTTCAGTTCAGTACGTTTAAAATCTTGCTGTCTCTTGCTAGTTTCTCCAGCCTTGCCTACCTCAGCTATGACCAATACAGCAAGTAGCAAAAATTGTTACAAAAATATTGTTTTCAACAAAAGATAGACAGGAAATGAAACTGATCCATGATGTCTTCACCTGACTATTTTTGTGGCTGAAATATACACCTGCACGTTGCAATGTCTATTAACATTTTGCTGCACAACTAAAATAGCCATAGTCAAGCAATACACAACATGACCTGTCCTGCTGACAGACCAGAGTGATGCACGCATCATATACACTGGATCAGCAGTGGCACCAGTACTGATGTCATGAAATGGATCGAGTCTTTGTTGATGAGCAGTGGAACTGATTTCACTTCTGTAGTTGATGTTGCACACTGAAGAATAATCCTAATTGGTTCCACTTAGCAAGGTTTATCTGTTCATATTCTCATTAAATCATCATGCTTTATGTTCCTTTTCTAGGTGCCAACGACGTATCCTCGTCAAAGAAGCCTCGCAGCAGAGGTCTTTTCCACAGTCTCTTCTGCTGTCTGTGTCACAAAGAGTCACAGCCACCTGCAGTAAAAAACAATGTCCCCCTCTTGGTAGAAGAAAATGGGACTCTGTCAAAAGTAAGTTAACCTCTCAACATCCCACTCTCCCTCTTCTTTGTGCTATCAACTTTCTCTCACCCTTCCTCTTTATCGTTTTGGAGCAGCATATGTTCAACATGATTGACAGCCGTGTGATGCGTGAAACGCACGTTGTCTTGGCTCAAATATTTTCATGTTTACAAGAGCATCTCTCCTGGCGGGGAAGTAACGTGACGTCCAGACATCAATCAAGATGACTGGGCGTCACAAGAAGTGGACGTCTACAGCTTTTATAGATGTGCCACAAACAAGGCACAGAACAGAAAGCTATAAAACAATTCAGGTATCCTGCAAGTGGTCTCTAAACCTCTCTTGGAAGGTTTAAATACATTTTAAATAATGTGTTAATTTAAACATTTCTGTGTGATGTTTGTTTGAATATGAAAAACATGAATGGTTAGGATGCTTAAATATCCTAAGACAGTGCTTGACAGTCCACTAACTACTATTGTTTTACATAAAATTTATGGACACTTGATAATACTGCCTATGGTTTAACTGAATGTATTCTTGGATAACAACATGTCTTCTGGCAGTTATGGTCTGAAGATCAGGTGGTCAAGACGTTCTCAGGTGTCAGTTTCAGATTAATACCTTAGTTCAGCCTTTTATAGTGATTTGATATTCCCAAAGTTATTTGTCACGTCTTTCCAAGCCCCCAAAATAAATATCTTGGTCTCTGGCAAAGGGGTGGGTCGAGTCAAGTGCAAGGCTCAGTTTTGGTTGTGACAACCTGTCGTGTCAACGTGTATGCTGCTCGTGTTGCTCTTACTCTCTCGCGGGCAGACTGTGGTCTCAGTGACCCCCCCCCACCCCCCCCACCAACCGTGTGAGTATCCGCTCTGAATGGACCCAACAGTTACCTGCCAGTCATTTGAACTTGGACTCGGCAGGATCTGGAACCAATGCATGGAGTAAAAACATAGTCCTAATAATTTCCTGATGTATTTGGAAAACTCGGAGCAAAGCAAAGTCTCTGGAGAACGGGAGCCGTCTACTGAAGTCATGCTTGCTGAACAATGCCAGGTTCCCAAATTAACAGAAGGTGCAGATTTAACCAGCCTTTCGAAGGGAAGTCCTGAACTTGGCATGAATGTCTTTGTGGAATATACTGAGCAGACTGTTGTCAGCGGTGAAACGGATCCTTCTATTCTTTGTGTGGGACACTGCAATACAGATGGAGATGAGACTGAATCCTGCACTGAGAGCTTTGAGCAATACTCAGCAAGTGACGGATTTTTTGAATCCGACCAGACTCTCGATAAGTGTGAGACTTCGGGGTTAAGCCAACCATTTGATGAATGTGCTCCGCACCGTGAGTGTTTTAAACCTTGCAAGTCCTCTGAGTACTGTGCTAATCATAGTTTAGCTTCCAAATGTAGTCCTCGCTGTGAACATTGTTCAGAACACCTCCAATTATTTCAGCAATGTAAGCCCTCTGATCAACAGTTTGAGTCTTTTGACTCGGAGACAGATACATTGTCAGTGAACAGTGACAGTTCGGGGCAGTGTGAGATGTATGATTTCATACCTGAACACACAGACCACCTTGAGTTACTGCAACAATACCAGCCTTCTGATCAGCAGTGCGAGTGCTTTGACTCTGAGCCAGACACATCAACGGACAACTCTGAGCAATGTGACAAGACTGGTTTCACACCTAACATCTCTGATTCAGTTGACTTATTGGACTGTGGCTCAGGACTTTGTGAGTGTGACGAATTTCAGAATCCAACTGGATGCACCGATGATAATGAAGAGAGCTATCCATTTGAAGAAGAGGATGGGCAAAATATAACAGAGCCTACTGATGAAGAGTCCTGCAGATTATCAGAGGATGTAAACTCCTCACATTTCGACACATCTGCTCATGTCTATTTTGATGACAGTGAAGATGTTCCTTTTGCAAGTGAATGCTGTGAGACTCACCAGCTCATTGAAGAAAACTCTCAGCAAGCTACTACATTAGACCTGTGCACAGATCACTGTGAAATGTGTGAAACAGATTGCTTTGAAACAAGCAAAGAGCATGAGCCCACTCAACAGTGTGCTACTTCAGAGCAGTTTAACTCTGACAAGACCTCAGAGTTTTGCAGTGAAGAAGACGGTACCTCAGATTGCTCTTCTGTTGAAACCAAATCGTTTAAGACTTGCGTTGATGGCAGTATTCCTTCAGATCCCTGCTCTGATTCATCTGGGGAATCTGAAAAAGGAGCGCAGGAAGATTCAAGTGATGAGCAGACACAGTGGGAATCTTTTGAAGATGATGAAGAAATAGAACAAAGCAATATTAACAAAATGAATGAGGATGAAAAGAAAAAACCACTGTTGATAGTGTTATTGACGATTACTTTGATCTATTTGACAGAGCTGACTATTACGGGAACGTGTTCGCACAAAAGCAGCATTACATCTCCTGCTTTGAAGGAGGCGACATCCATGACCACCTGTCTTTTGAAAAAGTTCTATCTGAGCCAGAGGAACTAGACGAGAATGCATACAAGTGTAAAAACATCAATGATCAAATTAATGTACAGGAAATTGAAACATGTCTTGATGCCCCTGAAGAAGCAAGTGAAGACACTTATGAGGAAGATGGAAGTCAGAGAGATGATTACTCTTCTGGGTCTTGTGAGTCAGAGAATGAACCGGAAGACTGGATTGTGGAATCAGAGTTAAGTTTAACAGAGGACAACGTTGAAGAAAATGAATCAGAAGCTTATTGCCTTTATTCAGAGAACTGTGAGGAAGCAGAGGAAGATGAAGACACTTTTGATGAAGAAGCTTGTGCAATAGACGGCCATGTTTCTGAAATCTGTCATGAAGAAGAAGCTGAGGTTTGCTCGTCCTGTGGGAATGGGGAGATGTGTGCGCCATGTGCAGAGGACATCTCTGTTGAAGGTGATGCTTATGAAGATGAATTCTCTGTTGCTCAGAATTCTGAATCTCTTGGTGATAATACCCCGAACTCTATAGGTCATTTACAGACAACTGTTACTGATTGCAAAAAGAATGAGCCTGAAGACGAAATGTTTATTGCATGTTCAGAAATGGAGCCATATTGGTTGCTTGTAGATCACGATGAAAGTGGAGAGATGTGTGAGCCAGATGTCGAGGAATACTATGCATATCAGGTTAAAAGCCTTCAGTCATCTGCTAAACAAGCCCTGAATGGATTTACTATGGAAAGGAGATACAATCAGATAAGCCACGGAAAAGCTAATGGGCAGGCTTCGAGAAATGAAAGAGAAGATGCACCTTTATCTCTGAAAGACAGTGAGTTACAAGCACATGGAGTCTGCCCAGAAGAGTGCAAAGCAGTCAGATTTGGAATAACTGAAGTTATCGAACTGAATGAGAATTTAGCCAACTCTGTTGAAGAAAAAACAACCAACGAACAAACTCCAGAATCAGACGATGACAGTGGATTCAGTGAAATTTTGAGGGAAGTAAATCCTCCTTTAGATGTTATTCACAGTGTAGTCTCAAAAAATGAGGGATGGGACGCACACGCGCTGGTCAGAAGGGCCGAGGAAAACGAGGCCTCCGAACAAAGCAGGGATTCAGAAGAGGAGCAGAGTGACGATGAATCCTCTGAGCCTTGTGAATGCGAGTACTGCATTCCACCAATAGAGCAGGTATTATACATCATTGCACTGTAGTTAAAGAAATATTGGAGTAGAGTAAATTGAGTTGTCAGATCTGTTGGCGAAACTTTAAATTATCCCAGAATCAAATCATATCTATTTTTACATCACTAAGACTGTACAACCAACTGCTGCGATCTCAGCTCCAGCTCTGCCATTATCCTCATGTGGCAGTTCACTAAACACAGACAAACACATGCACCAGTGTTACAAGCAGCCTGTCTGGTCGTGCCAACATGTTCTTAGTATCTGAATCACATTAACAAACACAGATCTCCGGCCACTCGTTGAAGGATGAGACGCAGTATGGTGATATTTACACGCTCCATCAACGTGGCAGCAGCTGTAGCATCCAAGGATTCCTGTAACCCCTCACCGAAACACCGCAACACAATTCAGTCTCTCAAGTGACAAGAAAAACACACACACACACACACACACAGACACGCACACAATGAGTTGTAAGTCCTATGCGACATATTGAGATGGTAATTTCTTATTTTGGAAGTAATGACTTGCTTACATTATAGCTGCTTCTCACATGTGGACTTTAAAGCGAAGAGAGCTTTTTAATCATGGGGACACCATTGCAATAAATGAGTCTTAAGAGTTAAAGTCTTAACTCTCCGTTTGTCCTCAGGTTCCAGCCAAACCGCTGCTCCCACGGATTAAATCAAATGATGCAGGGAAGATCTGTGTGGTCATTGATTTGGATGAAACACTAGTGCATAGTTCATTTAAGGTAAGTTGGCCTGTGTGACCTATTGTCTCATAGTCATATATACGTATACAAATATTATATTCTTTGCTGGGATCGTTGATAGGTTATCCAACACTAGCAGAAATCATTATATACCGTATACTGATGTTATTTATCAAAAGTATTCAAAAGAGTTTAAAAAAGTGTCACCTTATCATTACACCGAGATCCAGATACCGTTTGTGTACAATGTCTATGTGGTACCAGTCACGTTATTCTTACGGTATTAAGCAGTACCGGTGAACATATTTGCAGTATATTTGTTCCTTTCTGTCCCAGGGTTGGATGTGTGTCGGGTGGAGTCATGCAATGTTGTCAGTCACATAGTTTTGAATGTTTTCCCACGATTAAAAAAAAAGACTTTCCAGGTATAAAAACAATTCTCCCTGGAAAACTGGGAATTCTTGTCACAATGCTGATGACAATAATATTTCTTAGAGCTGGCCTAAACATTCATCACTGCATGCTTTGTTCATTGGCACAGTGCCAGTTTGCGGCCAGTTGGACATGATTTCTGCTCCATATAAATTTGGCAAACCAAACAGCACATGTCTCTTATTTCTTGGCCAGGAGCAGTCACTTCCTGGAGTTTTGTAATCACTGCGGGGTCACCAGGCAGCCAGTGGAGGAAGTTAGTGCTTCCAAACAAGAAGTAATCCAACACATAATCCCCTATAAAACAACAGCTTGTTAGTTTTACGCTATAGCTTATGTACAGAATAAACAAACAAGGTGTAATGTGTTAGTGAGCTTTAGAGACGCTGATAGATTTTGAACTTTCAAACAGATTCAGGCTAGCCATTTCCCCCTGTTTTCAGTGTTCGTGCTAAGCTAAACTAACTGGCTGCCACCTGTAGCGTGATAGATACCATAGAGACATGAGAATGGTATCGATCTTGTCATTTAACTCTTCAAGAAATATTTCTAAAATGTTAACTATTCCTTAAACTGTGATTTACCAAGGTGTTAACAGGAAAGAAACATGTTTACCATCACATCAGTACAATGAAGCCCAATGAGATTTGGTTTATGGTGCTAAAAGACAATTATTTACAACCAAAAAGCACCTTGCTTTCAGTTTGCCTTCATTGTCATCCAAAGCATATGCCCTTTTAAAAAAGTTTTTCCACTTAAGACAATGTTCTCAGTGAAGCCATTTACAACAAAGCCTGTCGAGTAACAATAACTCCGAAAGTGTCGCTGTCTTTCTAATGTAATCTGCTGGCAGTGTTATTGCTTCTATCCAACTGCCATTTAGCGCTACTGTACTGAGGTGAAAGAAGGCTTAACACCAAAAAAACTGTGACTGGGCTCATGTGTCACCTCAACATTAACCATTTATTGTATGGGTGCTCTGATTTCTTGATGCAGAACCAGGCTGCACCCTAAAATCCAAGTGGGGTCTGAAAAAAGTCTTTCAAATTTGATTTTGTGGTGGTGGTGATGGGGCAGTGGATAAGACTGTGCCTTTGGTGTGAGAGACCCGGGTTCAATCCCCCACCCTGACCCATCCACCATTGTGTCCCTGAGCAAGACACTTAACCCCTAGTTGCTCCAGGGGCGAGCTACCTCTGACATGTATAGGAATTGTAAGTCGACTGGATAAAATCTTCAGCTAAATGAGTAAATGTAAAATGTAACTTTGAAGAATGAAAAGTAAATTGCAAAAGACAATGACATGTTCAGCTGTTAACCTCGGGTCGTCAGGTCCTGGCGGCAGCTTTCGGTATGTGCACACAGCAGCTATGTTAACTTTATACTCAAATGATACACAGTTTGAAAGATAAAATCCTCGTGATTTGACCCATGTGAACAATTTCAAGATAAAATCCCCACAGCGGGTCCAATCAGCGCCTCTGTCAGACCAGCCAGTACAATCAAAAGTGACGCGACTCACCTATGAAGCCTCATAGTAATCCACCAATCGATTATATTTCAACACAAACGGTCTTGTTATGTTGTCAAAGGTCCAGACGATCCAATCCAGTAAAAATATTTAGTCCAAAACACATTGATCCATCAGTAAATCCCCAGGGACTGTTGCCGCATCGTTTCATATTTGCCGGCAGCCGTGGCTCGTATGTCTTTATAACCGTGATAACTCAGATTTGGATGTAAACAACTCTGATATTTTGTATTAAAATTAGCTGCTGAACTCTGACCTTTCGACTGACACCAAATCCAACCCAATAGGAGCTCACATGTCCCGCACACAGCCTACAGCAGCCAACGAGAGCCTGCGCTGTAAGAAAGGGCCTGCCCCCATTATTTTATGGGTAGGCCGAGCCAATTGCAAGCAATTGTGCCGATGACTGGCACTTCGTGTAACAAAAAAAAATAACAATATACAGCTTTAAGTAGGAAATTCACGATCTACCAGCACAAAAAAACACATCTGCGTCGAGCTGCCGGATCCATGGGGCGGTGCTGTATTAGAAAAAATATGTGAAGACATACAAACCTGTGTAAAATAGTAATTTTTCATGGTATTGGCGTGAAATTTTTCCTAGGACTAGGTAAGGCTTCATGCCGCGGCCCTACAGTGTTTTCCAGCTCATAAGTCCCAGCTGTAGTTATCTGCATGCATTTGTTATCAATCATTTTCAAGCGGAAATGAAAAATATATTAGTTTTAGTGTGTTTGAACTTATATTAATCAATTCCAGTAGCACTTACAATCATTCTTACTTTTGGGTTACCTTTCAGAGAAGCCCGAAACCCATGCATTTACTCCAAAAGGTTCAAGAACTACATTCAATTTACTTTGGATGTGCCTTGAATAGGCATTTTGAACGAATTATACAGGACTGTTAAGAGGTTAACTGCAATGTACCATTAGGTTTGAGTAAGTAGGACGTAAGATACAATTTTGAATACAATGCTAACTTTTATCATCATTTAGTCATTTCTATATAAACTCATTGAAAACATTACAACTACATACCTTTTTGAATAAAATCTATGCACAACATAATTCAAGAATCACATCAAAACTATCTGAATGAATATACAGTACAGCATGCTGGGTAACTATAATTGTTTTGCCTATTCAGAGACGATAAATCTTGACCGCAAATGGTTATTTCAAATACATTTTTTTAAATTTAAATAATAGTGCATAAATATAATATAAACTTCCATCCAAATTAGTTTATTTGTCACTTTCCCCACTTTTTCTATCTTCATGTCAACTTTTTGCCAGTAACTACTTAGGTCATCTTTTCAAGTATTCAAAAATAGCCAGGACCCTCGCATAGAGTATCTGCTGTTAGGCTTCATTATAGACTGTCAAAGCAAACTATTTAGTTGCCAAGCTAAAGAAGGTAGAAATAGCAATAGGATTTGCACTACATAATGTTGCATATTTTTATGAGGCACATGACTTATTTTTAACTTAAAGGATGGGGCTCAAGTGCCACCTAACCATTAAACATTTATTTTATTGGTACTCTGGTTTCATGATGAAGAACCCGCCTGCGCCCTAAAATCCGACAAGGAAATGTCAGACATTATTTCTTAGTAAATAGGACACAAAATGACAAAACAATACTAACTGAAGTCATTTATATATAGACACTGTACTTTCATACAAAAAAATCATCACAGCTTTTTACATAGAATCTCTATACAACACATTTTCAAAACAGTGTAGATAGTCAGATAGCATTTCAGATTGCATATTGAGTTTTACATTGTTCCTACAAATAACTGGCTTCCTTTGATCAGTTTGATACCTTTTAAGGTAGCATTCAGTGAACAAAGTAATCAATGCCATAAGTCAAAGCTCCTATGTCACGACAAATTATGTCATGAATGCCATGTGGTGTTTAGTCCTTCTCGGGTCACAGACTGTCCCAAAGGATGTCACTGGATATTGCCTCGAGCTATGTGTAAACAGGGTCAGACTCTGTGAAGTCCATGTTCAACACAAGGTGGATGATAAAACTCATCATTACTTTGACACACATACTAAAACTTACTTTAGGTAACACGGTTTTGAGAGTTGATTGTATGCGACAGAGGAAAGCCAGTGTGCTGTGCGACTAATTATTTATTTTAAACTTTTAGAATATAGAAAAATGTACTTTTATATGAAACATAAAACTGGATAAAATTTAACAGATGTACCTGTATTAAATAACTTCAAGGTGTGAAACTGGTGAATAGTCAAGTATTAATGTTACCCTTAAGTCATCTTATTCAAACCCTGTAGCAGACAGACAATGTTGTAAACCTTTGCAGAGGTTTTCCTGCATAGAAAATGCGTTGCACTTTGTAGATTTCTGTTCTGCTGGTGTGGTGCCGCTGTATCATAATCAGCACAGTATACCAGGAAGACGCTGCAAACTTCCAGAGAGGAAGAAAAGAGCCGTCTGTGTGGCTGGACCACATTGTTACTCCTGTTACGTCTTCGTCACACAGCAATAACAATCACTAAAGAAAACAAAACTGCTTCTCCCTGATATATATAGTGTTTTAAGAAAGTTTTATATCGCCAGCAGGTGTTTAAAAATGCTGTTGCAAATGGCATTCGGCTTTTGTAAATGCTGCTCTATGCGTTTGTTTACACTGCTGGAATGTAAGGAAATAAAGTCGCTTTTTAAAATTTTGTGTTTTTTTTAAGAACACACGTTAAGAGGAAATAAAAAGAAGAACACGAGGTTAGTTCATTCCAATATCCACATGACGACATTTCAATTTTGAAGTAAAACAAACAAAATAAGTTATAAAATTATATTTCTAAAAGTGTCTTGCTTAAAATACAATTATTATTTTAAATGCTTAAAAATCAGGTTATTCTGATTTGTGTAAATAATATTTTGCCAGCAGGATCTATTTGTTTTGTAAGATGTTTAGTGTATCAGTATTTGTGGTCATGTTGTCGTTCTCAAACAGAGCTTAGCCATGTCATGCGACATGCTTCATTCTCAGGGTCGTCCTGACAGTGTTGGAGCCCTAGGCGAGATTGAAAATTTTAAACATTAAAGACTTATTTCCTGCATTTTGGGAAATATTTCTGCACCAATTTATGGTTAATCTTCATCTATATAAAGGGAAACACGATATTCAGGTGACAATTCAAAATGTTAACATTTAATAGAATATAATGCAGTCAGGCTTTCAGGCATTCTGTATGATATTGCTGTTGATGTTTTCTCCTGTAGATCAATTTTCCCTGCTGAGTCAGCACACAAGCTTGGCCTTCCCTTCTATTTTGAGCCTCCGTTTAGGGAAATAACCTCTTTTAATAGGCCTACGTGGGACCTTTTCACCTCAACGATAAATTAATTCATTTTAATTCAGTAAAAAAACTCCTGGACCTTTAATAGCTCCTGTGTTTCAGCAGGTTTTCTGCTCATGTTCAAAACATCTGCACCTTCAGAATATCTCCCATATATCTGTTTTCTTTGACATGTCCAGAAAAAAATAGCAATATTACGAGACTAATGTCATCATTTAATGAGAATTCATAATATTTTTAATTCTACCTGGCCTCTACCCTGCTGTGCATTACATTATTGATTCGCTGGTATATAGCCTAACCCTTAGACTGTTTGACCGACACAGTTTGGGACAGCGTGTTGCACGTGAAAGCGAAACCAATCAAAAACACTACTGATAGGCAGAAATTTCACCACAAATCCACACACATGATAACTTCTTCAGCCGTTCCGAAAAGTGTAGCTCACAGTCCAAAACAGAGCAAGGCTGCAAAACTCTACCAGTTACGTTACTGTCTGGACTCACGGCGATGATTAAATCGCCGGTGTTGCATCAGCTGGGCGGAGTTGATTTGTGCCGAGTATAAAGATTTGTCTTGCAGCGCCCCCTGAGATTTTGCGCCCTAGGCGACCGCCTATGTCGCCTACGCCAAGGGCCGTCTCTGTTCAGTCAGTACAAATACTACTGCGACCACTACAGAAAATTGCAGATTTTGTATTAATATCCAGGAATTACCATTACGCTAATGAAAACAATAGCTGATGTTATATTTGATTTGAATTTTATCTTGCTATTAGTTAACTGTATAAATGAACACATTATTGTAATGTTTGATTTAATTGTGAACGGGGCACCTTTTTTTTTTTTTTTTTTAAAAAATGATTTAACACGATGGTTGCCATTTTTTCAATCATATAATTATTCATACTCATAAAATATGCTGCTTGTAAAAAGTGTTTGCTTGAGCCAGTTGATAGTACACATGCATGTGTACTGTGTGTGTGTGTGTGTGTGTGTGTGTGCGTGCACGTGATCAGGATGGTACCACACTTTGATAATACTTCACTGGACAACTGAGACACGAGTGGCACAAATCAATGACAAGTATAGGACCTGTGCAATAAGATAGGAAAAACGCAATTGGCAGATAAATGACTGAAATTCCAGACATGCTTGGAAGTAATTTTAGGAGCATATTCGTGGTGGCTTTTAAATATTCAGGTTAAGATCGCGGTTAAATCATGTAAAGAAGCATCAGCGTAGTTGGAGGAGAAGGAGGGTGTTTTTAAACCGTCAATGCATTCAGGCATTATTTGTCCTCAGAAAAGTGGAGGGTGAAAGTGGATTTAAAAAAGAACAGCAAAAGAAAGACTGTGTTGTGGTGGTTGCTCAGCCCACAAGCTCCCACAGACACTACACACTGCCAGCTCCCTGTGAAAGGGTGGAGATGGAGAACCGAGGCGGCGAGTCTCTAGCAAGGCAAAGAGTTGGCGGATCAAACCAGAACTAAAACGGCTATGAATAGAGGATTAGCATTTGTACCGATGGCACTTAGAAATGTGTTGTAGTTCGGGTTCAAGCTGCATACACATTGTTGCCCATAAAGATTCTTTTGAGTCTGACAACAAAGAACAAAATAAATGATTAACTAATCCCCATTAATTGGGTGCAGGACTGAACATAAACCAACATGCATTGGGGAAAAATAAATTCAAACTTACACTTTCTGTTATAATTTATGTTAAAATTGTTATGTCTTACTTGCATTACCTCATAGGATACCAATTTAGGCCATGGTATAATGCCTTACATAGAGCACGCTTAATATTTGAGGCGCATATTTTAGGTGTGAGACCTGCCTAAATAAATCAGGTATTTTTATCAGCCATGTCTCTTTCTGTAGTGGCTGTATTTCAGTGATGGAAGTGACAAGAGCCATATTATTTACTGTGCTGTGTTATTTAAAAGCTGAGGTGGCGTCTTCCTGTCTATTTGACACAGATTTGTTGCAGTTAGACTTTCTGGTGATCTGTCACATTGACAGACAGGGTAAAAAATTTCCACCCTAATTGATTGCCTGTCATTTTAATTTTCTAAAGATAATGAGTCACATAGCCTATTTAAAAGAATTTAATTTGATCTCAACAACATTTATCAAATAGAACTTACAGATTATTCAAAGTATGAACAGAGACACAGACCCCGCAACATTAGCTGCCACTGGCTGAACACGTTATCAGTATTACTTCACCTTCCATCACATCAATGGCACTTTTTTTACCTCGTTTATCAAGATAATTATCGGGCTTTCTAAAGACATTTTGCGATAGCTAGGCTATTTGGTGATATAGCCTAGCAATGCCTTGCTAGACAATAAGGTCATGCAGGCTAACTAATATGCACACTCGCCACTAACTGGACAGAGGGGTCAACAACAGGTGGTCTACACGTGGTTATTGACAGAGTTGCATGTGAATTACTGAACGTTACGCTCTTAGTCTTTATCTGTCAAAATAACTGATGGCCTTGAGGTTTTTCCATCACAAAAATTTCAACATGAGCCCTGATTTGTTGCCATCACTCAAGAAAGTTTATTTGAAGATGAAATGAAAAATATTCTCTTTGTGTTTTTCAACAGCCAGTGAACAATGCTGATTTTATCATTCCAGTGGAAATTGATGGAACAGTTCACCAGGTAGGCACTTGATATGCTTAATTTGCTGCAGTGTCTTCTTCTGTTGCTTCAGTTGCATCACCACGTTGTCCAAGCATAAGGCAGCCATCATAGAGGTTTCTACAAGCGTGTTAGACTTTACTACTTTTTACTAAAAGCCACAAAGATTTGTGTCACAAGATTGTGCAAACAGGAATGATATCACCATTTTATGTGCAGTGACTATCATTGTACTGTAGTATATACCACACATCAGTGACCAAACTCAAATACGAAACTAAGAGAAATCCTAACATGGTGACTCCAGTATGCACTGAAAACACTGTGCTAGTGCCCTGACAGTGCAGGAGCTCGTTCTGTTGATGGCTCCCAGCAGCAGGTGGCTATTTCCATGGCCTGACGAAATGAGGAAACCCTGACAGGCTTCTCAGAAGTCACCGGTCATCAATCTCACTCTGTGGCGCATATCATGCCGTGCTCATTGGTGCTGGGGAATGGTTGTGACTTAAACGGTAACTACAAGCTGTTGTGCTAGGCCTCCCAGAAGACAGACGAGCTTTGTTGTCCAAAGGGCCTGGGTCTGTTTCAAGTAATCCAGGATAGGCTTGTTAAAGTGGGGAAAGCCTATTCGGGATGACTTGGTTCAGAAACAAGGCCGCCAGCATCTTAGTGGAAGTAGATATAAAGACCTGTCATGGTGTTTTGATGGTATATTCCAGCTTTGTATTTTATTTTGCAATGTTTGATGTCATTATAGCAACATAGAATTATCAACATAGAGAGAAAATAATGTTAATGGTAGAGGAAAATCTGTGCTCAAGTGGGCACCACCATAGTATATACTGTTTATCGTGATAAGGACAGACCTGTCACGTTACGTTGGAGACGTTATTATATTAAAATGTACGTTATAATGTTAAAAAGCTCTGTTATGTTGTGGGCTGAGTTCACACCAACCTTGTTAAGTCCGGTTGAACCAAACCTTGGAGTGGTTACCCCCTTGGTGCAGTTTGTTTGGGTGACGGACCAAACAACCTCTCTCTCGCCCTCTGTTTCACAACAACAGACTGTTCTGGTCCGTCTCCCAGGGGTGGTCTCAGACCGCTGTCAAGTGAACTCAGCAGTGGTTCATTTCTTTTGTGAACACCTTTCCAACCAATCACAGGAAGTCATTTAAAATGGTACTAATCTATGATTACAATACTATTTTATGTATTATTGTTGTTTTTAATATTTCATTTGTAAAATGTTTTATTACCATTTAGTTTTTTTTTTTGCTTGCACATCTTACCTTGGTGTTTGGTACATGCAAAAACACATTAAGAGGATATAAAAACACATTAAGAGGATATAAAAAGACAAAATACTGTCAAGAACAGGAGGTGGGGAGCAAAGGGAGAACAGAAACCTCCTGGGGAGCGGAAGAACTACAATCAAAATATGAAAGTAAAAAATACTATAGCAAAAAATAAATACAACATATAATAATTATAGACTAATCATTATAATATGAAATATTTATTCTTCATGAAAGGCTTGCACTTTTTGAACGTTATCATTTATGTAGCATGTAGGGATATATGCATTAATTAATTAATTCAAGGAGATACATATTTCTATAAACATAAGCTGCTTTTATGATTAGTCTTTACTAGCCTACAACTTTTTTTTTTGCATGTTTGCAGTTGTGGCCCACTGACTTCCCTGGTCCACTTTGTATGACAATAATGCAAACTAGTTGTGGCACTGATCTGTAATGAGACCGTCTGATGGCAGAGCGTCTCCCTCAAAATGCCTGCATTATTAATTAATTAATTAAATAATGAATTAATTGATTTATTAATAATATTATATTTGCAGTGGTTTTCTGTCTTTTTACCCGCAGGTTGTATGACCAATAATCTAACAACATTTTCACCACATGGCCCAAATCACGATGTTTCCTCCACCGTACTTTACAGTTGGGATGAAGTTTTCACGATGTTATGCCGTGCTGTGCTGTTCGTCCAAATAGCTCAGTCTGTGGAGTGTCAATGTGCTCTTTCTCAAATGTGAGGCATGCAGCAACGTTTCTTTTAGTAAGCAGTGGCTTCCTTCGTGGTGTCCTGCCGTAGATGCCCTGCTTGTTCAATGTTTTACGTATTGTAGACCCATGAACAGAGATGTTAGCCCGTTCCAATGATGCCTTCAAATCTTTGTCTGTCACTCGGGGTTGTTTCTTTACTTCACTGATGAGTCTTCGTTGTGCTCTTGGTGTCATTTTGACTGGGCGCCCACTTCTTGGTAGAGTAGCAATAGTCCCAACCCAACGTGTCTCCAATTGATAGAATGTTTGCTAAACTGTAGACTGTTGACTGGTGAATTTGAAATAACTTTATAACCTTTGCCAGCTTTATGTAAATCAACAAATCTTGTGTGCTTCTCCAAGTGTGCTAAAAACTTTTTTGAGGTCATTAACTCAAGGGTTCACATACTTTTTCCTCAAGCACTATGAGGTTTTTTGGTTGTTCTCAAGAAAGACATGAAGGATCAGAAAATATGTTATTATTTTAGACACATTATATTTGTCAATACCCTTGACTTAGATGAAGATCAGATCACATTTTATGACAAATCTATGCAGAAAACCATGAAATTCCAAAAGGGTCACATACTTTTTCTTGTCACTGTGTATTTCCCCCTACGTAGTTTGTTTTCCTGGTCAAATCCCTACTAACTGAAACATGTGTTACCGTGGATTTCATACTTCTGTGCCTTTTGTGTCTCCACCCAGGTGTATGTGTTAAAGAGACCCCACGTTGACGAATTCCTCAAGAGGATGGGAGAATTATTTGAGTGTGTTTTGTTCACTGCAAGCTTATCCAAGGTCAGACTGCTGTTCTCATTCTGTGCAACTTGTGTCTAAAATTTGAGTCATTGTAGCAGGCAGGCTGGCATTTTGCAAACGGGCACAAACAGGCATGATTGACACTTTGTTTCAAAACCTTATGCTCAGAATCACTGAAAGCCCAGTGTCATTTTTATGTTTGATTTATAGGTAACCTTCCACATACACCTTCACACATCTTGATACCTGTCAGACAACTGCACAGACATTTTAACCTCTAACATTTACTTCAGACTGTGCTAACCTTAGCCTTGACTTAGCTTTGTGAAGCATTTGGTCGGTTATACCTCAGTGGCTCTCTCACACTTGATTCATTACATTTTCATTGCCTTGGTTGTCCACAGTGTCACAGATATAGTTTGTCTACATCATCTGAAATCAAATGCTGATGCTATATGTTTTGAAAATATCCAGGTTTAAATGTTGTAGATATCACTTCTCCTTGGCTGACACATATATTCATACATGCATACATGCATAGAATTTGAATGCAGGCTGGTTGCACTATGTGTAGGCATTAATGTGTAAGTTTCAAAGGCTACTATTGAAAATGATCCACTTGCTTGTATAGTACCATAACATTAACAGACTAATGTACAACTTGCATAACTAAGTTATAGTTTCATGATCAAGAGTCTTTGCCCCTCTGCTCAGTCTTTAACAGCACACAGTGGGAAGGCTACTCCACTGCACAGTACCTCCCTAGCACCAAATAACAGACAAAGTTAGCATGTAACGGCTAAAGAACCAAGTACTTCCCAAAGGAGTTGGTGGAGACCCGAAACAGCTAAAAGAGATTGAATATTGGAGTTGCATTCATCAGGTGGACAAACAGATCTCCAAATGAATTCTAATGTCTCTGTGTGCTAATAAGTTCTCCATTGCAACTTGTTACTTGTAATAATATATATATGATGTGTTTACAAGTTGTTTAATACTACAGAATGCATTGTCACTGAGTTTCTTCAGTAAAGTCCAGTAGTCTGTGTTCCTTTTTGTTGTTTTTAAGTGGGAAATGTGCGTGTGCTTCTTATCACCCTGTCTGCATTTTTTACTCATCTTAGTTTTCATGTCATGTGAAGTCCCATTTAAATGAACATACCCGTACATTATAGCTGTAAAGACATAGATTAACGTAACAAAGCTTGCCGCTGGTTTTCTCCTGCTACTATAGTATGCAGATCCTGTGTCGGACCTGTTGGACAAATGGGGGGCCTTCCGGAGCCGTCTCTTCCGGGAGTCATGTGTCTTCCACAAAGGGAACTACGTAAAAGACCTGAGCCGTTTAGGAAGAGACCTCAACAAGGTCATCATCATTGACAACTCCCCAGCCTCCTACATCTTCCATCCCGACAACGCAGTATGCCTTTTTATATTTCTTTCTCTGCAATACGCTGACATACATGTGATTAACGGACACTTAATAGTTGTTCACTAAAATTTAAAACAATAGACCAATATTAATATAATTATAGAAAATGAAGCAATATTGATAAGGTCTTGTAATCCCACCATATCCTGCTTCTTCGAACCTCCAGGTTCCTGTAGCATCCTGGTTTGACGACATGTCAGACACCGAGCTCCTCGACTTATCCCCTTCTTTGAGAGACTAAGCAAAGTGGATGACATCTATGATTTTCTGCAGCAGCACAGGAGTTTAAGTTAACAGAAGCAGGATAATAGGATGAAAATAATCACCAGCAGCTGTCGTCACGGGGCCACGGAGGCTGGTGGGCCACAGGCTCAACGCTGCTTCCGACTACAAGGACCACACTGCAACCAATGTCATGTAATCTCGTGTTCTTACAGTATATAGCATAAAAATGCGAAAGAAATCTTCCAACAGGGTTTGGTACTTCAGCAGTGCCAGTTATCCAATCCGAGTGCCAGATTTCTTTTCTCCTTTTTAAAAAAAAATACGAGATAAAGACTGAAAATGAGACTTCTGTATACGTCTTTTGCAATGCAGCTAGTGTGTTGTTGTCATGTGACAGCAGTGAGTATTTAAGCGTGCTGTAAACCTAGATTGTGTGAACAGTTGTTCAGTGCCATTCTACAAATGAACCACATCAATCATTTTCATGTCAGTACTACAATGTAGCATTTGTAATAGGATTTGAAGCTCTCGCACAATATAACAAATCAGTGACGACTGTCCCTGAAATCTCATTAACTTACTCTCTGTTTTGTTCTGCCTAAAATGGCCAGATGTGTATGTAGTAAAAGACAATCATTAAGTTTTGTGAATTTTGGTTTAATAATTTCTATAACATGTCCAAAACACATATTTTTGATCATAAATAGTGCACTTTCTGTGTCTTCCGAAAGTCTTGAACGAATACGGCTTTCGGTAGGAATTTGGCTCCAAAAACACACAATCAATCTTTCAGATTTTACATTGGGATTAAAAAGAAACTGGAACAAAAATCATGGGAGATCGTCATCATTGATGAGGTTTAATTACTGGAATCTAATTAATCACATGTAATAACCTTTTTATGTGTTGTCTTATGTCCAGTCACGAAACATCATAATCTTGATTTATTAGCTCACTTCGTACTTGCAACATTAAATCTTGAAAAAGCTTAATATAAGGTATATAAAACGTACAAAGTCTGCATCTTTCGGACAGTTTTAGATTAGCATTGGGACAGATTGACTGCGCACTGATCGGACCTTTCAGAGACTTACCACTGCAGAAATGGTGACATTATTTTTGTACATACAGGATTTTAGGCAGTAGTTTTTGATGTAGTTTTAATGTTATTTTACCTTTTTTTTTTTTTGAGTTTTTAGTTTGATCAACCAAGCAACACTGTTTATGTGTGCAGCAGGGGGAGGCTGCAACCGGCTATGGCAACTTTAACAAGTTTGTTGTTTGATCTGAAAGCACACCTTGAATTGCCTCCTATCGGTAAACTTGAATCCGAGTTTTTTTTCGTGTAAGACTTTAATGGAGTCAAGTGTACTGCCTGATTGATCTGTATATTCAGTTTCACAGGGGAAACTTGTGCCAGACATGTTTAAGCGCCAGATTGACTTTGTCAGTCTGGAGCGATGTTTGTATGTGTGCGTTTGGGTTTCGGTGTGATTGCGTCAGCGTGAGTATTTACATTGGTTTAAGATTTTAAAGAGAGATACTTTGACAATACATGATAAACCATAACCTGTCTTTTAAATAATGATTTAACTTTTCTTTTTTTTTTTTACTGTATGCAACAAGAGTATTAACGTTGTGACTCAAGTAAAGAAACTGGTTCAAACAAGTGAGTTTTTAAAATTGCTGCTGTCAAATGTAAAGATTGGGGGGAAAAAAAATACACCTAGAGATTTTTACCTTGCATCAATAAAGCATGTTTTATTGAAACAGGTCATATTTCACTACAGTACTTTTTTTTTTTTTCACATACCTAACGCTCAACACAACATGGCAGAGGTGGAAACAAGTCAAATGGAAAAATGGAATATGGAACAAATTTCATATGAAAGTAACTATCATTCTTCTTTAAGTTCAAACATAACACCCACTCAACAATAACACTAGCATGCCCTGATTTATCAATCAAGGAGATCAAGTAATTATTTACCTATTTCTTTCCTCAATTACCTGATTTTTGGCCCAGTGTATTTACATTACAAGCCCCTTTCTGCAAGACAGAACTCCCTTCATTCAAACTTGAACTTCAGGTTTCATCATAAAAAAAAAAAGTCTATACAACGGACAAATGATGAAAACAGATATGAATTGTTAAATGTAATGAATTACTAAACTGTTGCTTAGAAGATTATCTTCAAAGCCTGAAGCAAAATGCAAATGTGAAACTGGAAACTAACATTGCATTTTCTTTATGGTAATATATCTGCTGCTGTCAGAGAATGCTCGCTGTCACAACACAAACCCATGCTCTGATACACGGGGAAATTACACTGAGCAAGTCAAGTGGTACTGCAGAAAAAACTGCGCAATTACACATGGTGCTGGTTAAAGATTCACAAATGTATTTTGCTTTCATTCATTCTTAAACTTATCTGAATAGACAAAATCACCAGCAGGCCACTGTTTCGGACACAGGGAACAGAATTTTACAAACGACCAAGATGGCATCTGTTTGTTTTTTTTGTTTATTTTTTCCTGACTTGCATTGTGGCTGGATTGCATTCAAACTGCTGTGTGTAAAACTCTGAACTCGCATAATATTGTTTCATGAACAACCATACTTCCCACTAGTGAAGTCATTTGATCTTTACAGTATTCAAATCAGATTTTTATTGTCACTGATACACATTCAGTTTAAATTTCCATAACACAGTTACTGTCAGATCTGTGCACACAGGACATTATTTACATCCAAACTGCAATTTGTATTATGATAAAGGAAGCCCTTAACATTTATTAACACACGGACTATGACACATTTTATTTGAACAGAATTTTAGTTCCTCAAATGCAAGTTGCTTAAGGAAAACCAACTCCCTGGATTTACTGAACTGCATGAAATCCATCAAAACCCTGTTTAAACCATTTTTAGAGACATACTGTTTGTAAATACATAAGCAATGCCAACTTAAAAGCATCAGTTTAATAATCCATCCGTTTAAATGAGCCGACGACAGATGAAGAAGACGTCACTCATGGATCACCTGTGAAATTTAAGCAGAGGTCCAGAGAGCAACAGTTAATTTGATCTTATTCTGTCAAAATGTTACCTGACCATTAACAACAGTTTTTACGAAACATATACTGTATTATAAATATATTTAAAAAAGCTTTCTGCAGACATCTTAAAAACTAACCAGTGGTACTTGAGACCCTTCATCTTTAAGTTAGATTGTTTAATTAGAAGGATTTTTAAGGGCCAAAATATCTGAAATTATCAAGTATTTGACCAGGAAAAAGCAAAAATTTGAGAAAAGTCAGGGGAAAGGAATAATTTTGTGCCACAGATCATTCTAACTTTAATCATCTTGTGATATTATCTCATCTTGTGAAATCATCTAATTTGCCAGTCTCTTCCTCTGCTGCCAGCGATTACGCTGTGTAGGCTATGACTCATGTATCCCACCCAGTTTATACTTTCTGACCATTTTAAGTTCTCTCAATTTCCTTAGCTGAGCATGAGTTCTGCTGGTGCTGCACATCGCGCTCAGTTTAAAGCCGAATTAATTCATGACAGGTTTACCACCCAAAGCAGATGACTGAACATAATACTCTCTGAGTGAACATAATAAAACTAAAAATAGTTTATTCTCCTGCATGTTTAAGTAGCTCGAGAATGTTCTGTGGGTGAGTGCGCCGTATCGTTTGACCTACATGCCTGCAGATAGAGTAGGTCCATAAACACCCTATATCATTTGCAGAATGCAGCACTCCAAAGTCAAAACATTTACTGTAGATATTGCGATGTGCTGCCTGTGCAGCGCCAAGTCATGCACCACACTTTAACACGCCATCATGACAATTCAGAATCAGTCTGAAAGGTTTATGTTTTCTTTTCTTTTTTTTTATGCTTCTAATGCAAATATTGCTTTTTAGTTAGATAGTTTAATGAATATAAACCATTTCTGCATTAAAAACACCATTTTCTTCCATTACTTGAGGGTACATCATTCTACTAGTGATGTTTTATCAGTCATCTTGGAAAACTCAAGACTTTGTCATTAGCTCCATCTAGTGGTTATTTTTCAACTAATACACCCACACAGTGGCATGTCCAAGGACAAACACTGAATTAATGCTATTACTATGACAAAAGTAGGCTTCATAAACTGAAGAGATTATTTTGACATATTTGTAAATGATTTGAAATCATGTTGCATACAAACTGTGAAAGAATCATAATTCATCCCTGCAAGGCTTTTTGAATCTTACATGTACCATACAGTAAATCCATACAGTAATACCCGTTTCCCTGACAATGTAAATGCATTTAAAAAGTAATGTCAGGTAAACTGGTCAGAAAATTACGTAATAAAAAAATGCAGTGAAACATCTTTTTCTTTTACTTACTCAGCACCCGAAGCTGGGCTCTGCTTTTTGCTTTCCCCACGGTGAACTCCACCACTCCATTCATGTCCGGGGAGGTTTGTCTGAGGGTCAGCCTGTGGACTGTGCCCACCCTCTCCAGGCAAACCTGTGAGCTCGGCTCTAAGGGCTCCCCATTCAGACTCCACACAGGAGATTTGACGACAGGGGCCGAGACCTCACATTCGAAGCAGGCTTCATCAGGGGCCATGACTTCCACATCCTTCAGTTCTCTGACCATTAACACCGACTGGGCTGAGTCCGTGTACAAAGGAGAGGGAAAGCTGTTAGCTCACAACGCATGTTATTAGGTGTATTTAACAGTTGAGCTGCCAACCCCACATTTGTTTATGAACCCTGACATCATCCAGTTAAATTGGAGTTAAATTGAAGCTTTTTCATTTCTTGTACAAAGTGGTGAGTGTTAGGTCTTACCGAGGTAACCTCTTGCACTAGAGTTTGTTTTTGCTCATCTTTCATTCCCTTTATTTCTTGGTTTATGGTAAAGTCACTACATGTCAGACCAGGGCACATACAATACAGTCATGTGAGACATTTTGACTTGTTATTGTAGGAAAAGCACAGGTGTTACTAATAATATTAACGATGGCTATTTTCCATTTAAGCTACGACAGTGTGACAGTGAAGCAGCTAAATGGTGTTCAGCCTTTGTTAGGGGGAGACCGGGTATGGTTGTAACATAGGGAGAATTGTAACAACACCAATTCCACCAATTAGAGATAAGATAGGAGTCATGTGATCATTTCAGTATTTACCTACTTCCTCCCCGATCAGACACGGTGGTTGTTGAAACAGTTAAATTCAGAATATATAGAGAAAAAAACGATTTTAAGATCAGAAATTAATTAAATTTTTTGACCAAGATGTTTTGTAAAGTATCTATACTATTGCAGATAAAACAGTTTGACCTGTTTTAGACTGAAATGTGTTTTCTTAGGCAACATGTGATGAATTTTTTCCTTTCTAATTTCAAACCACTATGCTAATACAGCTAGCTAAACATTGGCTGACAGGGGTGGGTTGTAACACTTCTTTAAGAAGTGCTATACATACAACTGGGGACTTTCTCGATTATAATATTTTACAGAGTGCCCATTGCAGTCTGGGCCCACCAAGCGTGCACTGCAGGGTTACCAGCACTGTGACCAGTACTTCCCATTCACATGTTGTTCACATTGTTGGCGCATCGGCACTCGATCTTTTCCATACTCCGTCTCCGCCGGTGTAGAAGGCAGAGAAGTGCACGCGCAAGAGTAAAATATAGACGTGCTTGTACTTATTACCAGTGAGTATCGGCCCACTTCAAGCACTGAATGTGACTCTGATTAAGGATATACACACAAGGAGACACACTTTTTTTTTGTGTTAGACCTAAGGATGTACAGAGATGTTCTTTAATTTAGTACGTTTTATTAAATATACTGTTAAGTAAGTTTATTCGATAGATACATTTATATACACATACTGTAACTGCGTACGAGTCATCAGAAACTCTGTTACAGTGAGAAACATTGTTCTTTTATATCACTACCTGTTTTTGAAGCATATCATACAGTGTGGCATCTATTTTTGCTTCTTTTGTCTTATTGTCGGTATTGGGGTAGGTTGTAACAATGCATTTGACATCAACTCACGAGGTCTGTGATATCCGTGTAGAGGATTGAATTGGTGCCATGTGTAGTGAACAAATGTGGGTACTTTGTATAAAAGTATGAGAACTTTAGCTAAAAAATCCAGTGAGTTATAGTTGCTGAAGCAAAAACTGTTACAACCATACCCGGTCTCCCCCATATTTATGGTGGTGGACAGTAACTAAGTACATTTATTCAAGTACTCTACTTAAATACAACATTGAGGTACCTGTACTTTACTTGAGTATTTGCTTTTCGTGCCACTATCTATTTCTTCTCCACTACATCTCAAAGGGAAATACTGTACTTTTTATTTCACTACGTTTATCTGAGAAGCTTTAGTTACTAATTTCTTTACAAATGAAGCTTTTTACACACAGAGTTTATAAAATATGATGTTTTGTTATAATCAACAGTGTATACAAGTATAGCTGAAACTATTAGTCGGTTGACGGAAAATTAATTAGCAACTATTTGGATCGTTTCAATCAGTTCATGGAAAAAACATTTCATGGTCGCATCTTCACAAATGTGAAGATTTGATGCTTTTCCTTTTAATTATTTTAATTATTTGAATGTAGTGGTAATAATGCTGAGGTTTGGACTGTGAAGGTGTGACTTTGGGTTCTGGGGTAATTGTGACGACATTTCTCACTTTTTTTCAGAATCTTTACAATCAATCAATCGATTAATTGAGAAAATAATGGGCAGATGAATTGCTTATTAAAATAATTATTAGTTGCAGTCTGATACAAAATAGTTTAAAATGAGCTCCAGCTCAACAACTTCAGCAGTAAAATCCTGCTTTTACATGAATTCATGAGGAATAATAATCTCATGATAGAATATATAATAGCAACAGTCACAAGGGACACTTTTCTGCATTGAGTACATTTACTTTTAATACTACATTTTTCTTATTATACTTAAATACTTTTGCTTCAGTAACATTTTCAATGCAGAACTAGTATTTTTACAGTGTAGTATTAGTACTTTGTTGTCATCATTTGACATCTAAGTGCCATGTTCATTGTTTTAAAATTAAAAATAATTATTATACAGTTTGTGTTGAGAAGGTCAAATTATGCCTCTGCCATTAGAATCCATTATAACTGATATAAGTTTAGGTTGACCGCAGCAGCTGTGTGAGGGGCTGCCAAAATGAACAGCCACCTTTCAGCAGAGATATAGATGACTAAAAAAACAAAACGATCAAGGATGTTGCAAATGGAGAGGAGGCAAGAGTGAAAGGAAAACAGGCATGTGAAGAATGGAGGGTCAATTTTGTGTTAATGCCCTGGTGTTATCCCATTACAACCGGATAGAATCCATGTGATAGCTTTGCTTTGCCAGTAGATGGAGCTACAAGGTTATGCACAAGGTTCTCCTTTCCCTGCATTGCACTAACATAAGAGAGAGACCTCATGCTGCTGACACTGTGTGTTGTTGGGCTATGATGAGTCCTGGCATTTGTCACTAGTACATATACACACACACATACCAATAACAAGAGCAGTAGTACAGTATATACATGTCTATGCTTAATTTTTTGTAGTCAGACAGATTATATTGTATTACACTGATTATATTGTACAATAAATTTGCAAAAAAAACTAATGGCTGTGAAAACAAAAGTTTGGCTGTAACCTGTGCAGTGCTTGTTAATTGATCATGAACTCGCTTACCCTCCACTGTCAGTTTTGCAGAGCATGTATACTCTCCAACCTGCACACTGTACATGCCCTCATCGTCTAGCGCCACCTGCTGGAGGATCAGTTTGCGGTAACAGCCTTCACTGCAGATCTCAAAGCGCTCGGAGGGCAGGATGACATTGCTGCCTTTGTACCAGCGGATACTACATCTGGGGTTAGACACAGTGCAGTCGAGGATCACACGGCTCTTCTCAAGGGCGGTCTTATCCTGCAGAGGTTTCACAATGTTGACAGGGAGCTCTGAAAAGGCCAAAGTGCAATTTAGATTTAGTAAGTGGACGAGTGATGATTTGTTAATCTCCATAAATCAACACACTTCTTTTTTTTAAAAACATATTTGACCCTATTTTGATATGAATAGAAAATTAACTGCACAGCTTTAAGTGCTTACAGAATGTGAACTAGCTCAGCCACCCAAATTGCTAAATGTATAATAAATGTATACCATCATATCATTATACCTTCCACCTCCAGGTAAGCGACTGATTCAACATGTCTGGCGACGAACTTGATCTCTCCAGAGTCCTCTGCTCGCACATTGCACATCAGAAGAAAATGTTTGGTGCCTGAAATAAGAATAAAACTGTCAAGGTAAATGATAAGCCAGACAATAATTGGCTCAATTCTACTGGCTAAAATTACACAATTCCAGGCACACGATTTTTTCAATTTCCATTTGTGGAAATTATTATTTACAGATTTTCAAATGTTTTATCTTCTGTTCTATTAGGCTACATTATTTTTGTGGAGTATCAGAGCATTTTAAACCTCTGTCTCATTTACAATATTTATGAGCATAACATCATCAGCAGAGATGCTGACCTTCCTGGCGGATCTTGATGGTGCTGGTGGGTTGTATCCTCTCCCCATTTCTGTACCATTCTCCCTGTACATCCTCCACTGAGAGCTCACAAACAAACACAGCATTCTGATCTTCCTGGATGTCCAGGTCCTGGAGGCCCTGCAGGGTGAGCAGCTCACGCTCTGCAGAGACATTTAACATTGAAGGAAATTTAGAGTTACGGGCATCTCTTAAGAATTTGAAAGTGAAAAAAAAAACAAAAAAACAAACAATCTCAAAGCTTCTTTTTAACAGGACGCATGTACGATATGATTCCCTTTCCCTTTAAAATACTGTAATGGATATGTGTATATGTATAGAAATGTTTTATTTTCTGTGTTATAGCCTACATTGAAAGCTAACAGTTGCACAGAATCCTCCGATATTGTCCTGCCATTAACTCAAAGCCTGGACCTCCTTCAACAAACAGCTTCCCCTTTTGTAGTACCAGTATTTACTATTAATACCACAAACTAATTGTAATCACAATAATAGCCATTATTAGTAGTATTTTAGTATAGTATAGTATATGCTATACTAGTAGGTCTATAACCTGTTAATTTTGGTGAAGAAAAAAACAATTGTATATATTTCAAATGTTCACCTAATTTGAAAAGGTATTTAGTACGCAGCCATGATTGTAAAACCTTGCACACCCACACATGTTTTCAATTACTCTGTGCCAGTTCGAGCTGGGCTCAGCTTGAAGTTGGGTGGCTTTGCTGAGAATTACGTGAGATCACAGGACTCCATGTGCCAATAAGAATCATAAAAGTGTAATTTGTCTTTGCCCCAAGGTGCAACAAAGTTTTCAGAAGAGAGAGAGAGTGATGCCAATCAAGTTTAGTCTGTACATGCCCTCACAGTCCTTAATAAAAGTCTAATCAGCCTTAACAGAAATCACCTGTGTGGGTGAACCATAGGTGGCAAGGGCCTTTTTAATATATAACCATGCTCCACCAAGTTTTTGGAATTTTGTGGTTCTCTTGGTAATTAAAGCATTTTCTGCTTCTCATATTGTGGCTTATTTGACATTTAATTTAGCTTAGCTCTTTTGATTGAATGAACTTGAGTTAAGGTCAGGGGGAACGTGCACCATGGAGTCCGGTATGCACTTCTCAGCTAGCCACCTACCTAAAGATAGGGTTAGTGATTTGAACTGTCCTGATGAATGGGTGAGAAAGATTTACAGGTGGCTAAATGTAAATAAAATTCGCCCAGGGGAAATAACAAAGTCCCCAGCATTAAGAGAAGCCGCAAAACAAGCGCAGCAGATTATAGCAGCTAGCAAAGAAGAGGCTAACAGCAACTAAGATGGCAGCGCTTATCTGGCAGTGCATGGTAAGTGCTTTCTTCTTTTGTGTTCAAGTTACATGTTTACTGTCTTGTTGGTCAAAATTATCCTACCTGGCATTACCAAGCTAACTACACAGAAGCACCCCAAATAAGTGTTGACATGTCTGACTAAAGCTTACTTCGTTTGCTAGCTGTGCGAGTGGAAACATACCTAGGTCACCCAAACTCAGACTCCTCTCACATTATGGTCGTACTGCTAAATGTGGCCAACCATAGCCTAAAAGCATTTTACTTTATTGTTTCTTTGACATCATTTACCCTCTGTCATAGAAATTTCCACGGCAGACATTTTTGACTTGTCAAAGGAGGTGTCACTGTGAGCTAGCTTACAGAATACAACCAAAGGTAAACTGAATATAGCATCAATAATGCCTGTGTTTTTCCTGTCAGGACACGTCAAAATGTCTGCCGTATAATAGTGCGGCACCCGTTGGTGAATTGTGCTGCAGACTGTATGTAGGTTGACATAGATGTTGCTACACATTAAGTTTAACTCGATGTATGTTGTCATTCAAATATTTTTTGGGGATATCTTCCTTTACATCCTCCAGACTAATGTGTCACTGATTTCTTTCTGTACGTTGATGTTAATTATCTAGAATAACTTATGCGTGCTGTCAGTCACAAAGTCAGTGAGTGAATGAAGAAAGTCATTATGTCCTTTGTAAATAAAGGACTGACCCGGATCTAACCAAAGTACAAACTTCTGATATAAACATAGTTATTTTCAGTCAGAACTGCTTAGTTGCTGCCCTGTAATTGAGTTAGCCACCTTTCTTGACAAATTGCTGATACAAAGTGGTGGAAAAGAAGTAACACACAGCTTGTGCAGCTTACTCAGCTATACCTCTAGCCTCTGCGTTCATTTGGTAGAAATGGCTGATGACATTGCTGCAGTGTAAGTCGGGTGTTTTGTCGTATCCTGGGCTTTCGGTGTTTAGTACTTGTTGACAGCAATTCTCAGTGCATATTGTTTAAATTTGTGTGTGCAGTTCTGCTGAATAATATTACAAATCTCTTGATGCTTTCATGACACAGCCCACACTGTTCTTTCAGCCAGCCTATAACGTCGCCTCACACCACTGTGAAACTACAGGCCGTTGTCTGTAAATTTTTGTATTAGACAGCAGACTTTACCATAGACCTCCACAGCGCAGGATGTAGTAACATCTCCGGCATCGCAGGTGTATATGCCAGAATCACTGACGCGACATTTCATGATCTGAAGAAAACGCTTCCTTCCCATTGCATAAATGCGCAAGTCCTTGCCTGGCTTCACCTCAACCCCATCCTGAAAAGGATTCATCATCACAATCACAATTAATTATCTCTAAACAACTGAAACTGTACGGGATGCATTGTCCAACTGCGTGAAATGTCATTCTTTGGAATATGTATTTATTTACTTGACAATTTTTAACATATTCTTACAGACACTTTATTATTGATTGTTTTGACTCTGGAGTTTTGTAAAAAATCAGAGCCTAAATGTTGGTTATGGAGAAAAATAAAAATCCAACACTTGCCTTCATCCATTTCACATCAACATTATGTCTTGATAGCTCACACTCTATGGAGATTACCGCCCCGTCAGGTACTTTCTGGTCTTCCAGTTTTCTGAAAATTGTCACTGGGGGCTCTGGTAGAGAAAAAGCAAGTTAAGTTAGGCAGACACAACGCCTCTTACAAAATACACCAATGAACCGTATGAATTGCTGCTGAAGTCTGAAGTATATACAGTTAAGTTATGTGGACTAATTTTAACAATTGTCATCCCCAGCTTTTCAACCCCTTAGCTCAAAGGGATGGTGCACACTGAGTGACTCGGCATGGAGAGGATTATTTTACAGTGTGAGGTTAAACTAGGACCTGACAGAAAAGACTGAACAGAGAGGTACTGCTTTTCACTGGGTCATCCTTGGCTATTTTGTGTTGGTAACGTGAGCCTAGATAAAGGCAACAGTAGCAGAGCTGTCACTCTATTCTATTATGATGCCTCCACTGGTTGGCATTTGGTCTACTCTGAGTGGACCACTTTAGCTACCAGTCTGAGGTCATAACAAAATTAGTACAGTAACATTTTGTTTTGGTAGTACTGCAGGGTACTGTACGTGGTCTGTGAGCTGAAAAATTATTAAGTAGCCTTTCTAGATAACTTATGACAACACTACATGTTAATTGGCCTTGTAATAGCTGCATTGTCTCAAAATTACTTTTAAAGTCATTTTAAATTCACTATGGTAAAATCAAATTTTGAGCTCTGCTTGTTTAAACAAACAAAATCTCCTGTTCTAAAAGACCTACCCTTCACAACAAGCCTTGCAGACGTCTTCAAATTCTCTACACAGAACATAAAGGTGCCAGTGTCTTCTACTGAGAGGTTAGAGATAGTGAGGCTGTGGACTTCTCCTTTGGCACTCATACGGAAGTGATTTGTCGGCTTAAGCTGGATTCCGTTCCTCTTCCAGGTGCCAGGGACATTGGGATGGGAGAGCTCCACCTCAAAAGACGTCGTTTCTCTCTCTGTGGTTTTTACGTCAGTCAGCCCTCTCTTGATTGTGATTTTTCGAGCTGTAAAGAAAATTTCAGAACTGTGTAAGAGCGTCAATTACAAGTACATTCAGCGATCTACTTCGTGGGTATATGTAAATACTTTGCAGTATAGTTAAACAAAGGTTGAAAGCTTGGCCCCTGTAACTAGCATTTTCATTCCGCTTTAACCCTGAGCAGACATGGTGTCCATTTTCTGTAACAGAATAGGCTGGAGTCTGTTCTGTACACAGCAGTTAAATGATACAAGCTGGCACACATTGACAAGCCGATATTTTAGTCATTTGAGTATGGGGCTTTACACAAAAGCCAGCTTTGAAACTGCCAACATTTTTCACTTATTCTAACACAGACGAGCATTCCCTGTGGAAAAAAGGAGTGTTTATTTTGGAGACCTGATGACAACAACCTTAGTTTTGAAGGCCAGGGTGTAAATTTAGATGCAATGAGAGGAGATCCAAATTCATAGGAGGTGCCAACAGCAGCCTGAAGTCTGACTTTCCCCATCCCACCCACACTAGTGTTGAAAGAACAGCCTTTAATTCACCCACTGGCCTGTGGATCATAGGACTAAGAAATATAAGAAGCATGCAAAAAGAAAAACAAGCATAAGTACATCTTAATTACTACAAGATGCCAGTTTTACAATGTGCCAAGCTTGCTCCTTTGGAGAAATTTTAAGTAGTGCTCATTTTCTTTCCAAAATGAAATTCTAGTCGTTGAACAATAGCATGTTAACTTTGTTATTTATCATGCACTTCCCTTAAAACTATAATCTCATTTGCCTTTGACATAGGTAATGAAATCATCAGGGCTTTATTGATCCTGTGTCAATACAGAAGCCCTGGTCTGAAAGTCAACATGGGCTGTCACCTGTTGGTTGCCATCATGTTCCAGTATAAGTGCCACCCTGGTCCCCAGTCACTCAAATTACTCTTACTCAGTTAATTGAGCTTTGCCTGCACAAGAAGTAGCGATGGTGTGCGGAAGAGGTGGAGTCGTCGGCAACGGCGGTAAACAAACAACAACGGGGCATAGCGAGAACACGTGCACACTCACGTTCCACTGTGAGCTGGGCTTGCGTGCGGTCATGGAGGGTTTCACAGCTGTAGGTGCCCCGGTCAGACATGGCCAGTTTGTGGATGGTGAGACTGTGTTTTCGGCCCTTGTGTTTCACAGTATACTTGGCTCCAGGGTGGATCAGCATCCCTTGCCTCATCCACTGCACCTCTCCCGAATCTAGACTCACCTCCACCTCTAGAGTTGCCTCACTGTACTCCTCAGCTACAAATGGTGTCATTTTCTTGGTGAACAACACCTGTTGCTCTAAAAAAAAAAAGAATTTAAAGAATTACTAAAAAGCGGCAGTGTCAACAATTTACTTTTTATATGATAGCACTGTATGCATGTATGAATTCTTTCATTGTTATATATAATGACACTTTGAAGCCATACAAAGATAAGAAATCAGCAAAGTTCAAGCACAGAGAGCAAGCAAAAGCTCAGAGGAGTCTTGCCTCCTGCAGCGTCACATATTCCCAAACCGCTGAGCCACTTGTCTCTGTCAGTTACCAGAGGAATTCTAACAGGAGAAGCTGCTAAGCGCTAGCCGTCAAAGGCGCCTCTTCAACAATTCTGAAAGGGTCATTATTTGTCATATTCAGTGTATGCTTATGTGATACTTAGGCTACACAGCCATTCAAAGTCTCTTGCTTTTATGTTCACATTCACTCCAGTATTGCTGAAAATAGCTTACAGTACAACATATGGTGATAACTACCAGAGAGAGATAAGGTTATTGAACAGTAAATGGTTGTTAAATGTTGTAATGTTGTGATTCATTGAGACATATAAATATAATTAAAGTGTTAATGTTTGGGGCAACGGCTCACCTTGAACCTGGAGTTCTGCCTCTGATACCAACCCCTCTGCATCAGCTGTCACTCTGCCGCTATCTGAAACCATGCAGTTGTGGATGCAGAGCATGTGGCATAGTCCGTTGCTTGAAATGACAGCGCGCTCATTCAGAGCTACTTGCTTTCCATTTAAGCGCCACACCAACTGAGTGTCCTCTGGTGAAACCACGCACTTAAATATAGCATCTTCTCCCTCACAGACAGTGATGTTACGAAGCTCCGCTATGAACTCGAATACACGGGGAGCTGAAGGCAAAGCATTCAGCTGAATTAGATTCATTGTGCTCTAAACATTAAGATGGCACACTGACTATTTTCAACTATTTTTATTAATAAGACTGTATATGATTTCCCTCTCTGATCTGCCTTAAAATGATAATGATTTAAACTGACTTACTTTCTACAGTGACAGTAGCTGAGGTCCTGTCATCTGTGGATTCACAAGCATATTCTCCAGCATCTTCTTCCAGCAGTTGGTGGATAGTAAAGCTTCGCTCTCGACCTTGTGCCCTTATCGTGTGCCGACGGCTTGGAGAGACCTCTTTGCCATCTTTTAGCCACTGGACATCTCCTTTGGGCTTGTTGATCTCACAACGTAACATAAGGCTGCTGCCTTTCAGAGACACAATGTTCTCCAATGGTCTGATAAATTTCACCGTCATTTCTGATGAGTAGAATAAAGAAATGTAAATCCAGTGATAACTTTATGACTGTTACAAGTAAAGTAAATATATACTTGGAAATAGAGGTCACATTTTGTTTAGGAGTGCCAAATTCTTACCTTTGACTAAAAGACTGAAATACATCTCATCTGTGTTTGCATCACAGACATATTCTCCAGAATCTGACAGCTGCAGGGGATTAATGGTGAGCTTGTGGGTATTACCCTCACTGGATATGTGAATGTTGTCCCCGTTCAATAGTTGGCCATCTTTCAGCCACCGAACATTAGCTCTTTCTCGGCTCACAATGGCAGACAGTGTGACACTCCCATTTTCATAGCCTGAGATGTTGTTATTTACTATTTTATTCACAAACTTGGCTGGTGGCTCTGAGAAAATGAGATTTGCAAGGACATTGCTTGTAAATCCTGTGTTCATACATGAAACACATTCATTCAAACAGAAAGTACAGAACTGAAATCTAAGACATGTTTCAAAGTAATTTAAATCTTACCTTGAACCTCAACAATTGTTACCAATTTGTCATCAATGGCATCACAAATGTATTTTCCAGAGTCTGAGGGCTGGAGTCCAGAGAGAACAAGCTTCCTCACAACGTCGTAGCTGTCAATTTTTATACGAGTGTCTGGTTTCAGTACTTTGCCATCCCATAGCCACTGAACGGTGGCGTTTGGCTGAGACACCTCACACTCTAATATAAGGTCATCTCCAGCTACCAGGATATGATGCTCCGGATGGCCGGAGTTTCCAATGATCTGTACCGGAGGCTCTGAACATAAAAGACACAGCATTATTTTCCTGCGGAGTGAATGGAAAAACATAACATTTACAGTGCTTAATAATATGATTACCTTTGACAGTGATATAGAAGACCATCTTATCATCCACAGCATCACAGGTGTACTCTCCAGAATCTTCGAGCCCAGCATTTAGGACTACCAGTGATCGGAAAACGCCTTGCTCCTCGCTACAGTATCGCTCAGTGTCATCAATTAGCTGATTATCTTTGTACCAACTGACTGAAGCGTTGGATCTTGATAGTTCACATACTAGAATAATGTCATCTGAAACTAAGAACTGCTTTTCTGTTTTTGCGGCTGTTTTTCCAAGAATCTTTACAGGCAAATCTGAAAATGAACAAGAAAAGTCATGTTTCAGGACTTGGACTTGAGATGTGGTGCTCCATATCATCTTGGACCTTTAAGTACAATTACCTTGCACATTAATATGGAAATCCATCACATCATCCTTTGCATCACAGACATATTGCCCAGAACATTCCACGGTTAGTGAGTGAATGGTTAACTGACGCATGACACCATCCTCAAGGATGGTGATATTTCTGGAGTCTTCTACTTCTTCCCCATTCTTCTTCCAGGTGACCTCAGCATTTGATCTTGAAACCTCACAGTCTAGAACCAGAGTCTCCCCAACAAGTTTCTCTACTCTACTTGCCATCTTCCTTGGCCGTATGAAGCGAACAGGAGGCTCTGTGCATTAAGGAAATTTTGTGTTAGAAATGGATAAACATTGACACAGGAACAGCTATTTACAGAAACTATCTACTTTAGTTTTTTATACCTGCTATGTTTACGAAGAATGTCATGGAGTCATCCGCAGTATCACAGACGTATTCGGCGGAATCTTTGACAGTAGTTTCAGGTATAATAAGTCTTCTGTAGACACCATCCACCTCCAGAATAAGGTTGTCATTCTCCTCCACTTCGAGTCCGTCTCGATACCAACGCACCACTGCATTGGGCCGTGAGATCTCACAGCTCAGTACCATCCTCTCAGAGGTCTGCTGGCAAAGTTCCATTTGGGACTGACTTGGAGACACAATCAGCACTGGAGGTTCTGGAAAGGGCCATAATCAATTAGCCACCACAAACTTGTTTAATGAATGCTACAAGAAACTTACAGTGTTATCTAGGAGTCAAGTTGATGCATACATTGCCCGCAGGATCCTGGATGAATTGGTTAACCCCTAACCATGCCAATGTTAAAGACGTCTGTATGCTTCAAAGTGCTTGTCAGATCATTGAACAGAGTCTGAAACCTCCTATCAATGTCAAAAGTGATGGGGCGGCATCTGATAATTTTCTTTCCGAACTTCTTAAGCTGATAACAAACATGTAGCGATTGGCCGTGTGTGTGGGGGGGTAAGGAACTAGGAGGATTTGAACTCGAGCTCTCTTTTTTAAATCTCCACATAACTATTAGCATTGCTTTGTTGTGTCTGCAGTGTAGCACCAGAAATGCCCTTGAGGGGAGACTGTCCAAAGTGGGTACCGTTATTCCCTATATTTCCCTATAAACCTCAGCCAAGAACTCCCCAAATACAGTTTATAAAGTGTCCAACCAGAGCGGGGAACACTTTGGATCACTGCTACGCTACAGTAAGCAGTGCCTATCACGCTGTCTCCAGCGCTCCACTGGGACACTCTGATCACGTCATGGTGCCCCTGATTCCTGCATACAGGCAGAAACTAAACCTCTGTAAACTTGTAGTGAGGACATCAAAGAAATGGACCGGTGAAGCTGTAGAGGATCTTCAGGCGTGTATGGACTGCACTGACTGGGATATTTTCAGGGCTGCTACCAATAGTCTGGATGAGTTTACTGATGCTGTGACGTCCTACATCAGTTTCTGTGAGGACAGCTGTATACCAACAAGCACCAATGGCAAACCCTTGTTCACAGCTAAACTCAGACAGCTAAAGCCTGGTTCACACTACACGATTTTTCGCTCAATTTGCCGCTCGGCGAGCTCAGCGACCATCAGGCTGTGATCAGGGGTAAATCAGCAGCTGATCGGCGGTCGCCAGTCGTTATGTGTGAACTACTCAACGATGCAAGAAAACGGCTCCCCGACACATTTCTGACACATCGCCGACGTCTGCCAGATCTCTAGCATGCCAAATATCTGGAGGAGTCGGCCGACTCGACATCCACATCCAGCCAATGAGAGCAGGCAGCTACTTTTTCACCGCAAAACACTTTTTTACTCACTTCCACCTCTCTCTGTAGCTCAAACAATCCCTGCTACCTGCATGTGCTAATCCATTCTTTCACCCAGATTCTTTGTCTTTATAATTGCTATCTTTATAATAACAAACAACAGCTGTTTTGTGTTTTGGTTCGCTTCAATTCCCATTTCACCTGTGTTTTCTTGACAAAACTTGGTTTGGAGACCAGCGTCGGGTGACAGAGTCTCTGTCAGCTCGTGTGGTGCGTGACCCCCTGTCACCGATCAGTCACGTAGTGTGAACGCCAAAACAACTTCAAGACTCCCATCACTAGACGGCAAGTTGTGTAGTGTGAAGAACACGGCTATCGGCCCACGCTGAACGTCGTGAAGACTGCACGAGCCTTAAGGTTGGAAAGGAGGAGGCATGTAGGAGTGGGGCCAGGGCCAGGTGCAGGGCATTAAAGTACAGGTTTAGCAAGGAGGTGCGAGAAGCTAATGACTGCACTCAGAGAGACTAAAAAAACAGTTCTCTGTCAACAATGCCACTTCTGTCTAGAAGGGGTTCAGACAGATCACTAACTACAAACCTAAAGCCCCCCCCCCACTCGATTAACAACTGTCGCCTGGCAAATGAGCTGAACCAGTTCTACTGCCACTTTGAGAGTCAATTGGACACCATCCCACGTGACTCCTCCGCTCAGCTTCAGCCCCAGTCCACCATCTCCTCCTCCCCCTCCTCAGAGTTGGCCAGCTCCACCCCCTCTCCATCTCAGAGAGAGATGTCAACAGGACTATTCAGGAGGCAGAAACCCTGCAAAGCTCTCTCCCCATCCACCCCGAAGCACTCTGAAGCACTATATTTGTGCTGATCAGCTGTCTCCGGTGTTCAGACATTTTTAACACCTCACTGGAGACATGCCATGTTCCAGCCTGCTTCAATGCCTCCACCATCATTCCTGTCCCCAAAAAACCAAGGACCACAGGACAAAACGACTACAGATCTGTCGCCCTGACTTCTGTGGTAATGAAGTCTTTTGAGCACCTTGTGTTGTCCCACTTTAAATCCATCACAGACCCTCTCCCGGACCCCCTGCAGTTCGCCTACAGAGACAACAGGTCTGTAAATGATGACTCCCCAGGATCCTGTTTGTGGATTTCAGCTCTGTTTTCAACACCATCATCCCTGCCCTGGCTGCAGGACATTGGGCTCATCTGGTGGGGATGAGTCCGCCTACAGGTGGGAGACTGACCATCTGGTGACCTGGTGCAGCCAGAACAGTCTGGAGCTCAACGCGCAGAAGACGAGTGGAGATGGTCGTGGTTTTTAGAAAGACCCTAGACCCACCCTCCCCCATCATCCTGTGTGACTCCCCAGTCACCACTGCGGACTCCTTCTGCTTCCTGGGCACCGTCATCTCCCAGGACCTCAACTGGAAGCTGAACATCACCTCCCTCACCAAGAAGGCCCAGCAGAGGATGTACTTCCTGCAGCAGCTGAAGAAGTTCAGCCGGCCAAAGACACTGATGGTGCACTTCTACACCGCCATCATTGAGTCCATCCTCACCTCCATCACCGTCTGGTACGCTGCTGCCACTGCCAGGGACAAGGGCAGGCTGCAGCGCATCATTCGCTTTGCAGAGAAGGTGACTGGCTGCAAGCTTCCTTCTCTTCAGGACCTGTACCCCTCCAGGACTCTGAGGCCAGCAGGAAAGATTGTGGCTGACTCCTCCCATCTCGGACAAAAACTGTTTCAGACTCTCCCCTCTGGCTGGAGGCTGTAGTCCATTAGGACCAAAACCTCTCGCCACAAAAACGGCTTCTCCCAGTCTGCATCTAGCCTCATCAACAAGGGTCCGGGTCCCCCACTGACACTCCCCCTTTCAAATAACGCAAATGTCTCTGCACATGTAAATATTATTTCATATCATGCACAAACCTGGCACATTGCACATATTTGTTGTTAATTGTTAATCGTTGTTTTATATTTTCAAACTGTCAATTTATATATTTATGTACACAATATTCTCTTCCGTTGCAATACATCTGCACAACACAAACCGGAGTAATGCACATATATATCTGCCACATTGTTCTTTCTCCACAAATAGTTGTATTATGTTTCTCTATTCTTTCATTATTCTTATATAAGTTGCTTTGTTATTCCATATTTATATATTTCTACATTTATTTATGTCAACTGTATGTTTGTCTGCGTGTAGCACCTTATCACCAAAGCAAATTCCTCGTATGTGTAAAACACTACCTGGCAATAATCTGATTTTGATTTACAATGAAACAGTCTCTTCCCTTTCTAAAGGCGGCAGTCTTCCACCTTCGTGTTTCACCATTCGGGACAGTTATAAACATTTTTGCCTTTAGACATGTATAGACTACACTGATCATGTGACGTCGTAACTGCGGAAGCGAGTGACTAAGGCTCTCTATAAGGTCCCACAAACATACGTAAAAGTATTATTTCTTTCACATAGACAGTCACCCACTCAATACATCTGAGTAGGTCAGTAAAAATAATATCACTATTGAGTGTAAGTAAACAAACTTAGGGCCATGTTCCCTAGGCTTGTAGAGCAGAACAGGGTTACATCTACGCATACATTATATGTAGTATCAGGGATTTTACCTGTAATACTAAGGTGAAAGAATATTGAATCGTCAGCCGTATCACAGACGTATTCTCCAGAATCTTCGACTCCACTAGAAAGAATCTTCAGTCGTCGATAGGGGCCTTCAATCTTCAGCTTGATGTTCTCACTCTCCTGCAGCTTTTGACCATCTTTGTACCAGCTGACAGCACCGTTGGGACGAGACAATTCACAACTCAGAATAATTTCCTCAGGGACGTGACGATCAAGGTGGACATCCTCCTTCGGGTAGATTATCATCACCGGAGGTTCTTTGAATAAAAAATATATGAAATTGAAACACATCTTCTTCACATTTTAACACAGGTAAAGTGAATTTAAGTGAATAATGTGACAGTTTTTATGTAATCTATTTTTAGAGAAGATTTCATAAGCCATTTTATTACCTCTTATGTTAACCTTGAACATTAAAACATTGTCTCCTGCACGGCATGTGTATGTGCCTGTGTCGGACAGTTGGGCAGAATGAATTGTCAGATTCCTTTTGGTGCCTTCTTCCTTCATTGTGACATTATTTCTTGGTTGCATCTCAGTTCCATCTTTGTACCACTGGACAACACCATCAGCCCTTGATACTTCACAGATGAGAACAAGCGGTTCTTGTTCCACAACACTCTTGAAAAGGTCCTCTTCTGGGATATCAGCAAATGTTACTGGTGGCTCTGCAGAAAACGGTACACAAAAGAAAGTAAGTTGTTTCACCAAAGTAACATTCATTGTTTATGCTCATGCAAGCAGTAGCTGTAAAGTCAGATTTGGTCAGCTTAGACATGCTGCTATCTAGATAACAACCCAACAAAGATATCATAATTATCAGTGGGTGTTAATCCACTTGTGAAATAATGAATTGAAGCAGTGCACTGATGTAATGCAATTGCCGTAGGCGCATAGGAGAGAACGGTAAACTCATCAAAATACATGCTATTTTTCAGACACTGGCCTTAAATATAAAGCATGTACATGAAAAGCAATTAAATGTTTAATGAAATTAGAAGGAAGTTAGGACCATGATGAATATGATGATGATCAGGTTTTGCTGAGTTCACAAAGTTTTATAAGACTCTACAATGACAACATCTTGCCAAGAAAAAGCTTAGCATATCACCTTTCACCTCCACATTGAAATCGTTGAAATCTGAATCATCATCAGTTTCACAACTGTGTACTCCAGAGCATGAAGACGTGGCCGACGTCATAACCAATGTCCTCTCATTGCCCTCTGAATCGATGTTTATTCCCAATTGAGGCAAGAGTTTTATTCCGTCCTCATACCAGCAGGTCTGGCTTGTGGGGTCTGAGATCTCACACTGCAGTTTGATCGGGCTGTCTGCTTCAACAGACTCGCTCCTTTCAGCCTCTGGAACAGCTGAGAATCAAACTGGTGCTATAGGAATTTCAATTCATCGAACAGTAACCAGATAATCAGATTTGCTATGCGTTGTAACATACTTGGATCTACAGGCTGAAGGCTGTAAAATTTTGCTCTGCTTAGACAGATGGTGTACAAATTGTTTGGAGTTGTGCCTACTCAGGTTGACAGTGAGATTTACGTAATTACTTAGACATTACTAGAGTCATGGACTCGCATACAGTCAGTGAGCCAGCATAGTGGAACATGAATTCCAATTTTAAACTGTTGTTTTTTTAATAATGTAAAGTATATTGACCTTGACAGCAGTTTAAATGGCAAAAAAATGTCTGATCTGTTTCTCTGTCTCTCTGCCTATTAGTTAATAACATTTTTATGTACAGCCTTAATGCCAGGAGGTGCGCAGCATCCGCAACTCACCCCTCATAAGTCTAGCCAGAGTCACACAGTGACCAGAACAACAGCCAAATTAGCAAAGTTTAACATGTTTAGAAACTGAGTCATATGGGCCACTACCGTTACCGCTGGACTAGGCAGTTAAATCAGCATGATCATTTCTTTTGCGTAACAAGCTGTAAACACAACATTAATATCATAACTTTATAAAGTTGTGGCAAACATGTTAGCAATCAGTTGCCTATTTACACACTCGGATATATTTGAAATATTTTCATCAGCTAGTTGCCAGTTTTATCTCTTGTTTGGTGCTGGGTAACATGCAGAGGTTTTTGACAGGGTTGATGAGGGCAGTGAGACTGAACTAAACAGTAAAGTTGCGAGCTGTAAAACCAAACAATGAGCTGAAAAAGACAAAACACTCCTTAGAGCTGAAGCGAACTGCAGAGTTAGCTGTCTGGGGTTTTTTTTGCTACGTGCGCTCCCTTTTACATTATAGTAATTTGAACCACTGGCTGCTTCCAGTCTGAAAGTATTTGCTTCTTAGGGAAAAAATACTTATTCATGATAAAATGTAAGTAAGATGTAATATTTTCTATCAGGGTGAACATGTCCATCAAAGTCACAGAAAATACATAATAAGTATCAGTACACATTATCTTATTATCTAGAATCAAATATAGAAGCCTAAGTTGATCTAGTAGCCAAGCATTAATTTAAAGAAGTTAGTGATTCTGACATAACTCAAAATAATTAGATCACCTGCAACATCCACCTTGAATTCTATATGGTCATCTGCGGCCTCACAGCTGTACAAGCCAGCGTGTCTGACTTCTGCTGATTTAATAACCAGCGCTCTCAGTTTTTCTTTTGTTAGGATTTCATATTCACTCTTTGAAAGTAGCTGTTCTCCATCCTTGTGCCAGTAGACCTGGGCAGTTGGCTCTGAGACTTCACATTGCAGCTTAATCGGGCAGCCTGCTTCAACAAATTTGTTTCTTGCGACATCTGGTAATGATGAAAACCTCACAGGAGTAGCTGGGGGGTATTACAAGATTTGCAGAGCACTGCTGTTTAGCCAGAACACCATTTTACAGTGTTTGGTTATTTTTGCACATACAACATTAGGCACTTTGTGTTTGCATACAGGGTTACAAAATGCTTTAAATTAATTGAAGGTTTTTTTAAGAGCAATTGACCCTTCGCTAAGCCCCGCCTCCCTTAGTTGCTGTTGAAAAGTCCGACTAACTGTCGGAGCTGCCACTGTCTATTACAGTACTCCCCAGAGAAATATTGTCAAATTAGTTGGAAAAAGCGATCTCAGAAAGAAGCAGACAGTTTTGCAGTTGCATTATACGTTTGAAGGTTGTATTCAGGCTGTCTGACTTAGTCAAACGGACGTGGAAAACAATGAAAGATAGAAGCTAAAGCCTACCAATCACACAGTACAAGTGAACCACCGCATCCCCAGATGATGAGACCAAAAATTATTTTAAGTATCAACACTGTTCCTGTACAGCTGGGTAGGCCTCTATTCATTATTACATTAATTAAAAAGCAGAACAGTAGGGCTTTATTATGTTCCATTGAGTAGGACGTTAGCTAGCGTTAGCTAACTAACATGACAGTAGGAACGATCCACAGCCGGCATTTTAGAATAAATCGTAATTCTCCTTTCAACCTCTCTGGGTAGCGACTGTAACTATTACAAGAGCCCCAGGAACAGCGTTTGACCAGATCTTGAGCTAGAAAATGACTCTTTTTACATTAAAGTCAATGGAGCGCATCCATGAAAGTGTCGGACTTCCGTTAGAGTTAAGTCCTGTACTGCGCTGTGATTGGCCAGCTGTGTATTCGGGGCGTGGCTTAGCGAAGGGTCAATTGTGCAACGAAGTGTACAGTTAAAAGTAAGAAATGTAATATGTTCAGCTCACACCTGGAAACTCATTCATTAAAACCGAATACAAGAAAATCACCTTCGACGTCCACATGGAATGTCACAACATCATCAGCAAGGCTACAGCTGTAGAGGCCAGAGTCAGAGACCTTAGCAGAATGAATCATTAATTTTCTCAGGCTCCCGTCTCTTTTCATATCTAGGCCAGTTTTGCAAAAAAGCTCCACGTCATCTTTAAACCAGGAAACCTGGGCAACAGGATCTGAGACCTCACACTGCAGGATAATTGGACAACCAATTGCAATGATCTTGTGTTTTTCAGACAGTGCCATTGGCATGATCTGTGGCGATCGGCCTAAGAGAAGGGAATAATAAGGGTTTTGGATAAGAGAATTCACTTACAATGGACATAACACACTGTCCAGCCAGCCACACCATTTTCTCATGAACATTCAAAAGCTAGTAAGTTTTGTTCACCACTCACACCATAGAAGAAGATGGATGTGGCATGGTAAGGATAGAAATAAATCACCTTTTACGTCCACTTTAAATGTGATGGTGTCATCTGATGTTGAGCATGCATAGGTGCCAGCATTTATGTTTTCAGCTGAATGGATGAGTAGTGTCCTTGTTAGGCCATCTGACTGTATTTCCATATTGTTTTGTGGTAGGAGTTTCATTCCATCCTTGAACCAGTCGACATGAGCAGAAGGATCATGAGAGAGTTCACAGCTAAGGACAACGGGAGAGCCTTCTTGGACGAACTTGTTCCTGTCAGTCTCTTGAAGCTCTGAGAACTTCACAGGTAGTGCTGTAGGTTTCAGATGTTGCAAAAGAAGTGTCTTAATAAACTTAAAATAATTTAATATCCAAACTACTGTTTGTAGTTGACAAAGAATTTCCAGACAAACCACATACTCCACACAACAACATAAAGACAACTGGCTTAAAGAAGACAATACAAAACAAACGTGATTCGAAGGGCTAAAAGAGCAAGAATCAAGATCTGAAATGTCAAAGTTTATCCACAGCTACTGTACACTGACATAAAAAGCACAGGTAAAACGCAAACAAAGTGACAGTGTTCAGTTAGTGCCTTTATGAACAAGACACAAGAAAGTTAGTGTTCTGAAGATATTGGACATGCATAACAAGAGGCTGCATTGTAAAGCTGCATGTTTAATAAGATTTTCAGAGAGAAGACATCCTGTATTATTTCATTTCTCGTTAAAGGTATAAAACAGTCATTATGATTGGGTGTGATAGGGAGTAGTTCTATTTCTTTAACCTGACCTGACAGGCAATAATAATTAAACAAAACGAACTGGCCTTTACTTAAATTTTTTTAAATAAATTAAATTACAGAAATCATACTTACGTAGGAAACCTGTTGCTTTACATTTTTAGAGCAGTAACTGATCAAATTAGGAAAGCAGAAAAACGAACCATTTTCTGTTAGGTGGGACTTCATCACCTGCTCTTTCAGTTAGTTAGCCGTGCAAGACAGTGAAAGCGCTACAGAGTTTCTGAGCATCACCTTTTACTTCCACAGCGAACTGGATGTCATCATCCTTTGACTCACAACGGTACATGCCAGTGTGAGCCCGCTCTGCTGACGGGATAACTAGACTCCTCAAATGTCCCTCGGACTGGATGTCTACTCCATTTTGAGGCAGGAGCTTTGTTCCATCCTTGTACCAACTGACTTGTCCAGTGGGGTCTGACAGCTCACATTGTAGAGCAATGGGACAGCCGGCCATGACCGCCTTTTTCTGGTCAGCCTCAGATAAAGCTGAAAACTTCACAAGTGGAGCTACGGGATTGAATGTAAAATAGAAGTGATCAATAAAACAGGCACTATTATAAACAAAGTGAAGCAAAGCACAATACTGAAACTAAAGCCTTCAGCAGCATATTCAACCAATAAAATTACATGAAATCCTTTATTGTAACCACAATTTGGATTCAGTATTTATAGCGAAAGGTGTAGCTTTTAAATGAAATATTTTACATTTTACAAACACTGAAAACCTGGTAGAACTAAAAGTAACTAAAAACTAAACTAAAAGTTAGAAAAAAAGAACTGAATGAAACAGTCAGCTTTTAAGGGAAAAAATAAATGATTAAAAATTTGGGTCTAATAATTAAATTAATGAATTAATCTATGGGCCCCATGATTAAATTATAAAAGTCTTAAGCCATTTTTTTCAGTCAATCTACATTTTTCTCAACGCATTTCTGCATTGCTTATGCACTTGCAGGACGATTCAGTCAGTGTTTCCTGCCTGTACAGCAGGAGGTTTGGAACTTTTCCAACCTAATATCACCTAATATCAAATTAAAGGGACTAATGAAACCTTGGCTGCTTGACATAACCGATTGTACTTTTCTTTTGATGTGCCTGTGAAGAAAGTGAGGGTCAAAATAACTGTTCTGACTGTGCCAAAACTGCACGTCGGTCTGGTAGGGATGTTTTGAACGGATGTGTGTTAGGGCTGGACGATATGGCCAAAAATGTCACGTTATTTCTTTCAAGTTTAAAGGTTGATTTTTGCTCCTGTGTGAAAGTTGAAGAAACCTGCTGGTTAATTGTGGTTTTTAACTCTTCTTTATGGTCAACACGTGAGGCCAAACAGTGGATCACTTCACAAATCTGAGGTAGATCATTCAAAACAATTATGATAAAATCATTGTTAACAAGTATCATTCAGTCATTTTTCTTCATTTGTGCATGTTTCAAGTAAATAAAATCAAATATTTATTGAATATTTACTGAACATTTGCTATATAGTTATTGAAAAATAAATCCATAGCGAGCCAAAGTCTTCTACTACCCTTTGGCAGTCTTTCTGAAAAATGTGAGCATGTTCTCAGGATTTTCTGTTCGTATTCTGAGCTGCATAGGCGTATAATACGTAGTATATGTAATAAAACAACAATTACTTTGTTAGGATTTATCAACCACACCCATTCATCACCCTCCTCAGCACGGTGGACATAAACATTAACAGTCTCTTCAGTGCTAGTTTGGAAACCATGCAAAAATGTATGTACATTTAAAGAAAAACTCCAAGAAAACACTTAACACAACTCGGTATCAGGAAAATTGGTCTGGCTAGTTAGTCAGATGTTTAAAAATAAGGTTCCCTGCATAAAGTGACTTTACCGTTACTGACATTAGAATCCGCCTAACCTATGCTGAGTTAGTTTTACTTGTGGCCATTTTGTCAACCAACAATTTTATAACACCTAAACCTATTCCAAAAAGGAGAACAATGGAACTTAATTACTACATGAAAAAGTGTAAGTCAGAACTTTACATAGTGTAAGCTCTTCTCTTTACCAATTGAAAGACATTGCAAGCTACCTAACTAGTTACTCCCAGACATGAAAAAGGAAAAGCAGAAGGAGCCAAATGGTGTCAAGTAAGGTGGCTAAGTGATTAGCTAAATATAGAATGTCATTACTTTAGTAGGGGTTGTGATGTAGAGACAGAATGGAGCAAGAGAGCATAGATTCTGTCTATGCCTTTATGTTTTTAACTCAGTGTCATATTTTTGCTTATGTTCTATTTCTTGAATGACATAAAATCTGCATCTATAAAACCCATTTACTTTAGGTTGATTTCAAAAGTAATAAAATAAGAACTTACTATTTACAAGCAAAGCAAAAGCATTTAGATGCTATTTACCAAGATGCTATTTGGCAAGAATCTATTTATAGAACGGATGAAAACAACTTTTGTCACCTTTAACATCCACATGAAACTGCATATCATCATCTGTTGTCTTGCAGCTGTAAATCCCTGCATGAGACAGCATCGCCGACTGGAAAGCCAGCGTTCTTATGGAACCCTCTGCCAGCATGTCTTGCCCAACTGCTTCATGTAGTTTTATTCCATCCTTGTACCAAGTAACTTGGGCGTTAGGATCTGATATCTCACATTGCAGCACTATGGGTTCACCAACTTCAACAGACTTGTTCCTCTCAGTCTCATAAAGTGTTGCAATTCTCACAGGCGGAGCTGGGGATGTTTGAGGTAACATTAAGAGAAAATTGCATCACAATTACTGACTACAACAAAAATGGTGCTTTCAAACAACAGAAGAGCAAAATCTCAATTCAAGATTAGTCATGCCAATAAATCTTAGAGTTAAAATAATTCATAATAAAATATACAGTGTCTCACAAAAGTGAATACACTCTTCACATTTTTATAAATGTTGGATTATATCTTTTCATGTGACAACACTAAAGAAAGGACACTTTGCTACAATGTAAAGTAGTGAGTGTGCAGCTTGTGTAACAATAGTGTAAAATTTGCTGTTCTCTCAAAATAATGCATCACACAGCCGTTAATGTCTAAACCGCTGGCAACAAAAGTGAGTACACCCCTAAGAGAAAATGTCCAAATTGGGCCCAAAGTGTTAATTTGTGTGGCCACCATTATTTCCCAGCACTGCCTTAACCCTTTTGTGCACGAAGTTCACCAGAGCTTCACAGGTTGCCACTGGAGTCCTCTTCCACTCCTCCATGACGACATCACAGAGCTGGTGGATGTTAGAGACCTTGCGCTCCTCCACCTTCCGTTTGAGGAGGCCCCACAGACGGTCAGTAGGGTTTAGGTCTGAAGTCATGCTCGGCCAGTCCATCACCTTCACCCTCAGCTTCTTTAGCAAGGCAGCGGTCGTCTTGGAGGTGTGTTTGGGGTCGTTATCATGTTGTTGGGATCCTGCTCTGCTTCAGTGTGTCACAGTACATGTTGGCATTCATGGTTCCCTCAATGAACTGGAGCTCCTCAGTGCCGGCAGCACTCATGCAGCCCCAGACCAGGACACTCCTACCACCATGCTCGACTGAAAGCAAGACACGCTTGTCTTTATACTCCTCACCTGGTTGCCGCCACACACGCTTGACACCATCCACAGACCGTGTTACACTAACGTGTCACATGACACTGGGGAGGGAAAATGGCTAATTGGGCCCAATTTGGACATTTTCACTTAGGGGTGTACTCACTTTTGTTGCCAGCGGTTTAGACATTAATGGCTCTGTGATGTGTTATTTTAAGGGGACAGCAAATTCACACTGTTATACAAGCTGTGCACTCACTACTTTACATTGTAGCTAAGATACATTTCTTCAGTCTTGTCACATGAAAAGATATAATCAAAAATGGACAAAAATGTAAGGTGTGTACTCACTTTTGTGAGATACTGTATGTCTTTCAGTTATTAGTAATCTAACAAGAGGTATCTTTGGTTAGACTTGAGATAACTAGGCATTCAAGTTAGGGTTTAAAGTTATGTATTTACTCGTTTCCCTCTCTTTTTGAAGGAGTTTTATTATGAACAAAAGGAAAATGTTGAAATTTTCAAAATGTTAAAGACTGCAAAATGCAATCTCTTTATTTTACACCATAACATTGTGCCCGACCATTTTGTGTTTGATAATGCTAACCATTTAAATCACCTTCAACAGCCACCTTATTTGCAGTGACACTGTCACTCCAGTGACTGTCACATGTCCTTGATAGATAGATCTCTTCTGATTGGAGAGTAGATGCCTGCTTGATATAATAAGGCTCTGCAAACAGGGTAGATGCTCCTTGTCCAGGGTTGTCTGTACTGTCTACTTGGTCTTCTGTGGCCTTCATGGTGTGATTACACCCTGGTTGGATGGATGTGGCCTGTAGGGACTGATACAGGTTAGCTTCTGCTTGTCCTGTGTGATAGAAGTCATCCAATCTCACACATGCAGACTGTTGCAAGTTGCACGGTTCCCCTGAGAGAGTTTCTGCCTCTTTAGAGTTATACAAGTCCAATGTTTGAAGGGATGCAGTGTTATTTAAGTCACCAAGCTTCTCTAACTGGACAGTTGCGGTCTGTAGGGGTGTGTTTAACTCCTCTGTTTGGTCAGTTGCAGTTTGTAAGCAGTCAAGAAGCTTCCCTAACAGGGCAGCTGGCATAGAGCTACAGAGCTCCTCTGGTTGGACAATTGCAGTCTGTAAGGCTTTAAAAGGCTCCTCTGATTGAACAGTTGCAGTATATAAGGATGTAAAGGGCTCCTCTGATTTGATAATTGCAGTCTGTAAGGCTTTAAAAGGCTCCTCTGATTGAACAGTTGCAGTATATAAGGATGTAAAGGGCTCCTCTGATTTGATAATTGCAGTATATAAGGATGTAAAGGGCTCCTCTGATTTGATAATTGCAGTCTGTAAGGATTTAAAAGGCTCCTCTGATTGAACAGTTGCAGTATATAAGGATGTAAAGGGCTCCTCTGATTGGACAGTTGCTGTATGTGAGGAGTTACAGAACGTATCTGATTTGACTGCTGAAATCTGCAAGTGGTTAGTAAGATGCTCTGACTGGACAGTTGACATCTGTAGGGGGTTACTTAGCTCTGAGTGGACAGTCGGCATCTGTATTGAGCCATGTAGCTCTTCTGATTGGACAGTCAGAGTCTTGAGAGTAGATTCCTCTGATTCAACAGTTGCAGTTTGTAGAACATTACAAAACTCATCTGTCTGGACAGCTGTCCCCAGGGTACAATCAAGCTCTTCAGAGGAGGCTTCTGCATGCTCTATATCGTAAATGAATTCCTCACCTTGTGACACTGTGGGCTGATGGTGTGTGTCAGATTGCAACATTTTTGGATTTATAGAGCTACAGTGAACTGGAGCTTGAGCATTTATTGTTTGTTGATTATTGTAGAGCTCCTTTAGCTTTTTAGTTGTAATCCAGTCAGTCATATATTCATTTCTTGATTGAGAAGTTGCCATTTGCCTGGAATGTTGTTCATATGTCTGTAGATCTCTTCTCTTGCCACAGAAGATGCCAGAATTGCATTTTGAGGACTTGCAGTCAACTTCTACAGGATAAGCCCCTTCAGTGGACTTCTTCTTCTCTTGGTCAGAAGAGAGCCTTGGCGATGTAGCTATAAGCATTGTGATGTACACAGAGAAAGGTTTTCAGTGGTTGATGGTCTCAATACTTCTTCTCATAACAGAATTTTACATCAGTGTGGGTTAGCATGGAGTTATGAGATAATTCATTGCAAAGACAAACAAGAAGATCGACCAGGTTTGGTCTGAGATTGAGTTTGTATATTTCCCCCTTCAACTGACTCCTAATACTGTGTACCATCAATATGTACACTAACATCTTAAAACCCTAAAAAGTACATGATTTGTCTTCCCTTTGATAAGAGTGCATTGTCATTGCAACGGGGAGAGGTTCAGGGCAGCAATGTGAATGAGAGGATCTGGTGATGAATAAGATTTAAGATGAACTTTAAGAGTTGTTAGCTGCTTGTTTCAAGCAAAGATGGCCGTTAAAATGAAGAATTAAATGACAAACACAACATATATGTTAGTATGAAGATCAGCTACTAAACAACCACATGTTTATGAGCCAAACACTGCAGGAAATGACATGAGACCAGGACTGAATATAACAAAAAAAAAAGATGTCTCAGATGATTGCGCTAACAGTAAAATACACCACTGTTGTTAGTGGCATGAAGGTGCTGGGTTAACATGGATGACTGATGTTGAAATATATCAAATCACCTTTGACATCCACAGTGTATTGGGCAGATGCATCAGCTATCTCACCAATCTCGTCACCATAGTGACACTGCTCTGCTGTTTGGACAAAGCCAAAAAGAAAACAATGAGCTGGGTGATAGCTTCACATATGTAACTAAAGACTTGCTTCTTAATTGTGCATGTACAATGTGGAACACCACCTTTCATGTCCACATTTAACTGTGCATCACCAGATGTTTCACAGCCAAGCCTGCCGTCACCAGACAAGTCATGAGACTGGAAGGAGAAGGCTTGGCTGCTGCTCTGTGATTCACAGTCAGCTTCCCTTTTTGGGTAGATCTGGGTTCCATCTTTGTACCAACAGGCTTTGGCAATTGGATCTGAAATCTCAAATTGTTGAACAATTGGACAGTGCGCTTCAGCAGACTCGGGCTTCTCAACATCAGGACCAAGCAGATATGTCGGAGATGGCACTACAGACAATCATTGGGGGATAATTTCAGTGTACATACCCTATTTTACCCCACATTTTAGAACAACTGACTTGAAAGAGATATTGTCAAAAATGTCACAGATATTAGCTCTGCATTGTCACAACAGATAAGAAGACAAACTAAAAGCTACATAAAGAGTTAGTCATAACTAAAACAGAAAACACATTTACAAAAAAAAAAAATCACCTTGGTTTTTTACTATTAATTTGGCAACATCATCTGCTGTTGCACAATAGTATGCTCCAGAGTTTGAAGGATGAGTTGGTTCAATGACAAGGGTCTCCTTGATGCCTCCCATTTCAAAATCATGCTCTCTATTAGAACCATGTTGTTTATCCCTCTGCCATGACACCTGGAAAGCAGGGTCTGAGGTTTCACATGTTGGTTGGGTTGGGCAGGTTGCTTCAAGTGACTGCGTCTCCACAACCTCTGGTGAGGGCGACAACGTTGGAGCTAAAGATGATGATTCATATTATAATTGCGGACTTAATAGTGCAAGTTCATACTCTGGTTAAGAAAGGGCTTAATGGTTCAACTCTCTCAAACGGGGAATTAATCTGTCGTATGATCAAATTCAAGTAGAGAAACTCACATTTTCAAGGATTAGCCTACATAGACATTTTCATTTTGTCAGTAGAGATTAATTTTACCATGATTTAAGAAGCAGTTCACAACATCTTCACACAAAACACCACATGAACACAGACAGACGGATATGCACGTTGTAAATGTTAGTCGTATCTAGTCTCCAGAAAGCGCTAGGATTTGCTTTAAGATTCAAAAATTAAAAGAAAATCACCTTTGATATCCACAGTGAAGTGGATAGTGTCAGCAGAGGTTTCACAGCTGTATAGCCCTGAGTGCAAGAACTCAGCAGATGGGATAACGAGCCTCCTCAACGTGCCATTACTCTGTATATCCCAACCATTCTGTGGGAAGAGCTTTACACCATCTTTATACCAGCAGACAGGCACAGTGGAGTCTGCAACCTCACATTCCAGCTCCAAATGTTTGCCCGCTTCAATTGACTTGGTTCTCTCAACGTCAAAGACAGTAGAGTACGTCACTGGTATAGCTAGCATTGGGAATTCAGGACAGCTAAATAAAATCAAGACTGTGGAAATGGACACCTTGCAAACATTTGACTGCTGAGCAAAAATGAAAAGGGTGCTAGAGACTTTCAATTCAGGAAGCAGTCACAAAACAAAAGATTATAAATAACAATTACTTAGTGCGTTAACAGTTCTTTAGAGTTATGTGCATGTAGCAGTCCTTCAAACCACATACAGTAGAAGCAGGGATTTATTAGTGGCATCTAGAAAGAGGAGGTGGGGTTACAATATGAACGCACAAGATAAAAAGTGTAAATTCACCTTTGATCTCCACTTGAAACTCCATGGTATCATCCTGTGTGGTACATCTGTACACACCAGAGTGGGACAGCTCTGCAGACTGAACAATTAAAGTCCTTGTGTTGCCCTCTGAGAGGATTTCTAATCCAGAGTTTGAAATGAGCTGCATTACATCCTTGTACCAGCAAACGTGGGCCTCAGGATCTGACACCAAACACTGGAGTACAATAGGTTGGCCTGCTTCGATCGACTTCGTCCTCATTTCTTCAGGAATTGCTGAGAACCTCACAGGTGGAGCTATAGATATGTTTAGATCTTATGTCAACCTTAAATCAACCTCATTCAAGATTCAAGATTATTCATGAAATCTATTTACTGATAACTAAATTACTAACATGCTGTATTGCAGTCAAAGAATATGTGACAGCTAGCACTTTTAATGAGTGCTAAGATGAAAGGCAACAAACAACATACAAAAGTGTCATCAGAGTTAGTTGCTTTGCTGAGGAGGAGCTTGTTAATGTTTCACACCGTTTAAGGTCAAACAAATCACCTTTGATGTCCACACTGAACGTGATGGTGTCACCCTTTGTCTTGCAGCAGTATAACCCAGAGTGGAAAAATTCTGCTGAATGGACAATCAGTTTTCTCGCCAAGCCGTCAGTTAGAATATCTACTCCAGTTTGAGGATGGAGCTTTGACCCATCTTTGTACCAGTTCACCTGAGCAGAAGGATCTGAGAGCTCACATTGTAAAACAATGGGGTAGCCTGTGTGGATGGTTTTGTTCCTCTCAGCATCTGGAATTGCTGAAAACTTCACAGGTGGGGCTATGGATATTTAGATAGTTTAATGGATTGTTAACTTGTAAATGTAAAATGATTTGATAAGAAAGACTTTAAGAGAAGACTAAATGCATTTTAAATAAAATGCAAGAATAAAAGATAAGAGGTGTAAAAAGTGACAAAGATGGTTAGTCTCTGTGAAAGGCACAAGTATTGTAAGAAACTCTCTCCACTCACCCTCTACTTCCACATTGAACCTGATGACGTCATCAATGGCATCACAGCAATACACTCCTGAATGCGAGAATTCTGCTGATTGGATGACAATTCTTCTCATGGTACCCTCTGATTGGATATGAAGACCATCCACTGTTTGTAATTCCACCCCGTTCTTGTACCAGTGCACTGGAGCTGCAGGGTCTGACAGCTCGCAGTAGAGAACAATGGGGTTCCCAATTTCTACAAATTTGTTTCGATCCATCTCTGACAGTGATGAAAACTTGACAAGAGGAGCTGCAAATTTCAGAAAAACAACGAGAATCTTTTACAACACATAGAAGAATGACCTGAAGGGCTTCAGTGCATCGGTGCCATCTTGCATTGCATTTAAAACACAACAAACATACAAAAAACACAATGAATCTTAGGCCGACCAAGTTAAGTACCCAGCAAACGATGACAGTGACCAATACATACCTTGAATGTACAGTGCTGCAGAATCCCGGATGCCATAGGCAATAAATGTGATCTCAGCTCCATTGTCTGTATCACGTACTCCGCGAATGCGAAGAGATTGGTGTGTTCGTGACCGACGCATGGAATAACGTTCATCATCCTGAAGTTGAGTACCATTTAAGAACCATGTACCAATAACTGAAGCAGAGAGTTCAATAGAGAAGAGGGCATCTTGCCCCTCTGGCACTAAGGCATCCTGTAAGGGAGCTTGTATTCTGGCAACTGGAACTGGAAAAAAAAAAGTTTATACATGATTTAGCAAGAATATCGCCAACCATGTTGTGATTTCATTGATTAAGAAAAAAACATCATGGCATAATTGATTTAGCACATTTGTTTTAGCGTAACTGAACTTACCCAAATGAACAGCTCTAGGGAACTCAACATTGTTGCTCTTTCCGTATTTGTTGACACTGCAAATTCGAAATCGATAATCAGCTTCACATGGTACGCTGTCACCAAGGATCTCCACAGAAGTTGCGGAATCAGTGGTCAGGCACTGTAGCCACTCCTGTGAGCCAGTGCCCACTTCTTGTCGCTCAAGCACATATCCAGATGGAGGGTTCTTTCGCGAGTCCTGAGCAGGAACCCATGAAAGAAGAGCAGCATTAGCCCGCTCTGTGTTGATCTGCACACCCACTGGACAACTGGGAGGACAGTGTCTGGCCGCTGAAACAGGAGAAGCCCATCATGCATTCATCCCTTAGGATTGGAAAATCTGATGCATGCAATGTTTTTGCATTTGGGATGCTATAATTTACAGATGAGGGACCTTACCTTTCACTCTCAGCTGAGAGGAAGTCTTGGATCTGCCTACAAGGAAAATTACAAGGCCAGAGTCTTGGGGCATTGTATTAACAAAAACCAGGATGTGAGTTCTCCCAAAGGACTTTAGGATGGTCTGATGGGTTTCACGCAGCTCTATGCCATCTTTGTACCAATGTATGTCCATTTCCTCTTTCTCCACTTCAACACAAAAGGCAGCATTTTCACCTTCCAATACATCCACTTTTCTTGGAAGCTTCCGCAAAATTGTCCCTGCAAAGACAACACTTTGACAGTAAGTGACTCAGCACATCAACAGGACAAAGATATTGATTACCTAATGTTCTACAAATGAAGCAACAAAATGTCTTCTGTAAATTCACACCAACAGATATAAATGTTTTCTGATTGACACCCCCTATCTAACATCATTTGTTAGTGCCTTCCTAAAGTGGTTTTAGGTTTGGTTAAGCGCAGACAACACTAATTTGGTATAGGGAAAGATCATTTGGTTAAAATAGCCACTGTATTAAGGCTAGGATGCAGTTGTTGTCATTTTTTAAACAGTGGTCTCCCATGTCAAAGTCCAATGCTTTGTTGACCCGTCCAACCACTTCCACCTCCTACCTTTATAGACTTTGTGGCTCTATAACAACTTACTTTCTTCCTTTAGTGCTAATTAATAAGTAAATTTTGGAATTTCATTAACAACTGATGCTGTTGTTTTTCTTGGAAGGTCAGACTCATAATGGACTAGTACTTTTGAATCAAAACAAGCAACAATACTATTTCTTGCTACCTTGATTGAAGCTTTTCCAGCTGGCCAAAGGAAAGCACTTTGTGTGGTATTCCTTGTGTGTGGTGTTATCTATGGTTTTTCTACTCAAGTCAAATTACTGACAAAAATTGAGACATCTGACTTTATGTTCAAGTATTTACCTTGTCTCTCAAATGCCAAATTTCTCAAAAGAGGTGAGAAAAGGGAAATGGTATAACAACATGGTAGTGCACGTATTGGTCATACAATTTTGGCCAAGCATGTGTTTCAACATGACAGAAGGGAAAGAAACAAATAAAGGGTAAGGGTTGTCACAGTTAGATCAACTTTGATGTTGATAATCTCAAGCATAAATTTAACTCTAAACTCTAAAATTATAGAAAAGATTCCAAATAGTCTGTATGTGAAACCATGCTGTTGTGTTATCATGTGAATCCGTTTGCACGTGCTTTTGCATTTTTATTATGCTTTTCAAAGAAGGCTATTTTATTACTCCATCCTGATTTACCTTTCACAGCTACCTCTGCAATGCTTCTCCCCCCATCGGGCATCTCGCAGAGGTAAATCCCATCATCGTCAACTCCAATGTCACGGATAGTTAGTCGCCGTTTTGTTCCCCACTCCTCCATTCCATATTTGGCCCCTGGCTGCAATCGTCTATCCTCCAGATACCATGTGATGGGAACAGAGTCCTCTGGAACTTCACACTCGAGAACAGCCAAATCTCGTTCCCATACTTCTAGATCAATAAGAGGCTGCTTGAACCGCACAGGCGGCTCTGGAACCAAGGAGGAGGAAGAACACCAGTTTGATTAAACCAAAATCACGTCTCCTAATGTAGTTAAAAATGATCTTAATATATTTATGTTAACTTCTGTCTATCAATTGGCAGTGGTGTTACTTGGTCAACATAAATTCTTTGGGCAAGCGACCCTGAGAAAACTCGCACATCACATCATCTATGTCCTTGTCATACACACTGTAAATTCCAGTGAAGCAAACAAGATCAGCAAAATCATGAGACAAGTGGCTTATTTAGTTGAGGAATGGAAAGGTCATTAACACATCAGGGTGTTAGAGAGGAAATAAACTGTTTGTAACAGACACCATCAGACCAAACCAGACAGTTGTAAACAAAAGAATGTGGACCGTATTTAGTAGTCCGTGTGCAAAGCTATTCATTTCTTTATCTTACTAATCTTTTAACAAGTCCAATTAAACACACAGACAACGGATGAAATACATTCATGATCGACTAATTAAATTGCCTTTAAATATATCCACTGATCATTAATCATGCTTAAATTTTCATTCAACACAGCACAGTACTTTCTGTTGGTGCCATGAGTTTGGACTTCTCTGGTCCATGTGAGAAATACGATCCCCTTCCCAAAGATTTCGATCACATGGATGCCCCCCTAGACCTTTCACAAGCTAAGTGACTTTGCAGACATCATACTGCTGTCGGAATCCATCTCAAGCTGATGAACTTTGCCTGTTTAGATATCTCTCGGGTTGAATTTCAGATCATTAATACATTTCATTAATCCTCCAGTGGACCCGGGGTTGAATTGCTTTTTATACAGCTGGTGTCAAATTATTTAATCACTAATTATATTTGCAGCTCAATGGCCAACTGGTCTGCCCTTTAATGGATTCAGTGACTGATGATACAAAATCATATACCTGAAATTTACTTGAATGAGTTCTGTGAATAAGCATTAGTGTGCTATTGTACAGTTTGTGCTGTTCATTGCTTTGTAAAAGCAATGTCACTGTCTTCTATCTTTAAGAATGAGATTCATTATTGTAGTGCTCAGGTATATAGTTTTATTGTGGTTTTTGGAAGATAGATCAGATTGGAACAGAACAATACTATATTAACAATATTATCATGGAGAAAAAAAAGCATTCTAAAGCATCATAATGTCGCCATAAAATGTTTAACTTTTTTATTTTGCCCCCTTTGTCTGGCCCTACCCCAATAAATGATCTAAGAGTACCTCTTGGATGATATCTCCCTGACATCATCTTAGCATCAAATGGATAGAAATCTGATCCAAGAACACTCCACACACTCACTCACTCACTCCTTTACTGACTGAAAAAAGTATCACAGGCTGCAATTGTGTCTGCATTTACTCTTTAAACTGCACCAAAATGTCTTAACATTTTCACAAAATTAAAACTCTGAAAACACTGAAAATGATCTTGACTTACCTTTTACGGAGAGGTGTACGGCACTGAGGGTTTGCCCTGCAGTATTTGATGCAGCACAAACATAAACTCCGTTATCCTTCTGCTTACAGTACAGAACTTTAAGTGTGAAGTATCCTTCTCTGTCCTCATATAACAAATAACGCCTTCCGGACAGTATCAGCCTGCCATCTTTCCTCCAAATTATTTCTGGTTTGGGTTTCCCAGTCACAAAGCAGCGGAATTTGGCATGTTTACCCTCTGTCACGGCAAAAATTTTCACTTTAGTTGACTTGGTCATGGTGTCGTCTTTGAGCCGGTTTTGCACTTGCCTTCCGGTCCTCTGTTTTCCCTGTTGGGCTTTCCAGTGACCATTTGTGTAGCCATTACGATTTCCTTCTTCCTCATGTCCTGGGCCTGCATCAACGAGCAACACTGCTCCTGCCAATGCTTCCCCGAACTCATTCCTGGCTTTGCATGTATATACACCACCATCTGGCGCACGAGTCTTAAAAATCTTGAGCTGGAACCATCCACCGTCCTGGTAGCCACACTGAAATGTGTGCTTTCAAATATTTCATTGAGTTTCCTGCCATCCTTTTCCCAGACAACCTCTGGTCGTGGGTTTCCCCAGAGCTTACAAGAGAAGACAGCATCATCCCCACGGCCAACGCGAGTGGAGAGGGGCTTGATGAGGAATCGTGGCTTATTTTCCTCTCGTAACTCCATTTCTTGTGCCTCACCTTCCACCTTCAGTGTGGCTGCTGCATATGTTTCCCCAATGCTGTTCTTTGCTTTGCATATGTACTGGCCACTATCCTCTGTGGTCACAGCTGAAATGATCAGATTGTAAACATTTCCATCCTCAAACACCCTATATCGTCCCTGTGGGTCGATCTTTTCATTGTTTCGCTCCCAGATAACTGCAGGTCTTGGATCCCCGCCAATTTGACACTTTAGGACTGCATCAGTTCCGCTTTGTACCATCACAGGTCTTGGATAGGCCAAAAAACGTGGTGCACCACCAAACACATCCATTTCTGCTTCTTTGTCAGCCTCACCTCACTTAAGAAGCCCAGGAGAGTAAGAGGTAGCAGTTATTCACTGGGGAAAGACAGTCCAACTTGTGCACTGCAAATTTCTGAAAAAGAAATGAATGAATTACTTTAAAGGTACTGTGTCTTATTCCTGGCCAAATGCTCCAAACTAATGGGAAGCAGCATTTTACCTCCTCCCACCCAATTTCACACTCGGTCTGCCCAGTCAGAGACAGGGAAGGTCGAGCGATGGCAGGAGACAAAAAAAGTAGAGGTAGCGGAGGAACGAGAGGTCGAGGAGAGCGAGTGAGGGAGAGCAGCTCATGCAGCAGCATCAAGAGCTAACCTTGCGCAAAGGGCTCTACTTCTTCATCCTCTCATGTTGGACTGAGGGCAGCCTGGAAGCTACAGTGACTCACTATTGCTTCTCGAGGCACAAGTGGTATTACAACACAGGGCGGCCGGGGCTAACTGCTTAGCATGCTCATTTCTCAGCAACACAACACATAGACGTCTTTGGCACGAATCAGAACTGTACTTCTTCACATTCTGTTGATCATGTTGGTTCATTTTTGGAGGTGAAATTCTGGCCATATTTTACTCATTGCACCTTTTAATATCAAAGAACTTGTGTGTTTTAGATAATGTTTGAACATGAAATTTTAATTTTTTGTAAGATTTCAGCCAAATAATTCAGTTTGTAAATGTTATAAGACGATACTTTCAGCCTGTAACAAGGAAATTCACTCTTGTGTTTTGGAATGGAAAATAAAACATCTGTCATTCAAACACTCAGCCTCCGCCCCTTTTAAGTGCATGTGTTTCATCACAAACGGAAGGTATGATTATTAGGGCTAATTGAATTAGATCTGTCTGCGTGAGAGAAAAACACGGGCGAGGGGGAACAGCCTTGTCCTAGTGCAAGAGCAGCCACAACACACGCCAGTACAGCTGGTGCTGTATTTCAATGGGAAAGTGCTTAATATAGTACACCCTAAATAAAGACCTGTGAGGGAGTGTGTGTCAGGTATCACAAAGAAGCCTCTGAAACCCGCGTGCTCACACAAACACAGGCCCAAATCACGGTCTGCCCACCCAAGAGACCTTGCAGTCAAAATATGCTGAGCCTCCATCACACCCTTTGTTGGCAGCTCTGTTGGGATATTCTTTCTTTAAATGTCACTGTCAAATTATTTTTATGTCAAATTCATAAATAAATCAGTTAGGCAATCCCAAACAGTTTGTTTGAACTACCCGCTGAAAATTATGCTCTCCATTGACCATTTGTGTAATCTAATCCTTTGCTAAAACTTTTCCCGGATGAGCTTTTAAACTTCAAAGAAAAGATTAATCAGTAAACTTATATAAATGAAAGTTTGGGAGTGTTGCAACTTAGTCCTCTTGGCTACAGGAAAGAAAAGTTTCAGGACTTGAAGACAATAATCTCAGGAAAGAGTTTTAGAAGTCACCTAGTTGTCCATCATAATATTACATTATTTATTTAGAATTATATATTTTGCAAAAATATATATGAATGATAATAATCGTATTAAAATGTTGTGCAAATACAAAAAAAACTTTCACAAATACTGAATAATCCTGTCTCATATTCTTTTCATACCTTTCAAAGTATTGTCAATCCTTATGTGAGACGCATTCCAACTAAAAGGGAAATCAAGCTTTTAAATTATGTTTTTTGCTGCTAAACCTAAACATTGTAGGTAAAAATGAATTGATCTAAATATTGATGTAAAAGACAAAGGTTAACATGACAACAAAGTTGAATTCTTTTTTTCAACAGATGAACTAAATCTTGATGGAAAATTTGTTGAACAGTTTGATATATTATTTGATATAATTCTGTGTTTATATTCATTAAAATCTCATGTTCACATAGCAGGACATTTGAACATTGCGTTTAAATTAAAGTCTTCAATATTCCCTCCGGAGGTTTTAAGAGAGGAGATTAACCCCTGTGTTTACTTGTCTGATTTAATTGGAATGACCTCTGCCCCCTGTGAAGCTGTGCTGTGTACCCCTCACATGACCTACCTCGCTTCAGTCGTGGGGAACGACCGTCAACATACATTCCGCACTTGCAATCTCTCCCCGAGGTAAGAAGCAAGACCACTCGTCTCCTGAAGTCTGAGTAATGTCCCAAGTTTCCTTCAGATTTAGACACATGCTCTCCTCAAAGGTCCCAAGTTCTGCTCCAGTGCATCTATATTGACTTGTGTCGAGTAGGAGGAATAGAAAACAGATCTGCAGTGTCCACACCAACTTCCCATTTAACAACTTCAGAGTGGTTCCCCAATCTCTGTCGCTCAGACGTTAGGCACCCCAAGTGTCATTGTTCGTGGAATACCATTAAATGCTTTTGCAGCTGCTGCTGTCCCCTAAAAATACTGGCTGCCTCGATGACAGCAGTGAAGATAAGTCAGGCACTTCCCTTCAGTTGCCAGCAGGGGCTAAAGATAGTTCAGATGGCCATTGCAAGGCAAACTGCTTGGCTTACTTGAGGCTTTGCAATAAAAATCTAAGGAGAAAAGTAAGCTTCAGGTCTCAAAACAGTTTAAAACTCACCCTCATTAAATCTTCAATATTTGTTTAATCCAGTTTTAAGGTTGTCATCTTTCACAGTAGAATGTTACACAGTGTGCAGACGGTAAGAAAGCAAGTGTTTGTAACAGAAATCGGAAATTAGTTCAACATGGCCCAGAAAGTTCCACCTTGGTTCATACTTATTAGGCTGGTAATAATTAACAGAGATTATAATATTTCATTTATTTTTCAATTCTAGTGTGTGAATGTTCTTGAGAATAAAAAAATCAGTTCATGGTCTAAAAATGACAATAATATAATTTATCGCAGTTATTTCTGGTACAATATATTGTCCATCAAAAGTAGCTATCGTGACAGGCCTAGATACAGTAAAGATCTGCATGTGTTTGTGTGTGAGTTTTACTTGCAAGCACTGGTGGAAGAAGTATTGAAGTAATTTATTCAATTAAAAGTAACCACACTTTAAAAGTACTCTATTATAAATAACTGGATTAATATAATTGTAATATGTAAGTTGTACTTCAGTGTTGTACTTGGTTGAGTATAACCACTTTTATGGATCAAAACCCTTGGGACACAATCAATCCTACACAAATACTATTTAATTTGCTGATGGAAAGCTTGACAAGCTTACAACATGTTGACCCCATGTGATCTCGGACAACAAGTTCACACAATGCTGAGCCTATTTGACCCCTTTATGGTTGATTCAATGGGTGAGTGTCATGAGTTCTGATTGGCTGCTGAGCACTAGGGTTAAACCATTTCTGTAAGCCCAGGGGTTGCACACAACATTTAACGTGCTAAGGATCCTCTTTTTTCTTTTTCCCTTTATGTGTAGGTATAAAAATAAAATATTTATAATGCAGTTTTATGAATTGTATTTTTTTCTTTTTCCTTTTGCTCCTCAACTGCCTTTTTGGTAAACAAGCACAATATCACTAATATTGGTACTTTTAAAAACCTAAACAGACTACTTTTTGTTCAAAGATTAGGCACTCGTCAGACATAATTAGGTACACAGGTAATGTTATCAATTTTGATAGAAATTACCGAATTCAAAAGACTTTCAGAATTAAATTATATTTTGTGCACATATATGTTGCCTGGGGGTGGCACAGTGGTACAGTGGGTAGCACTGTCGCCTCACAGCAAGAAGGTTGTGGATTCAAACCCCGGTTTCCCTGGCCTTTCTGTGTGGAGTTTGCATGATCTCCCTGTATCCGCGTGGGTTCTCTCTGGCTTCCTCCCACCATCCAAAGACATGCTGACAAGGTTAATTGGTGTTTCTAAAATTGTCTTTAGGTGTGAATGTGAGTGGTTGTACGTCTATGTGTGGCCCTGCGATGGACTGGCGACCTGTCAAGGGTGTAGCCTGACTTTCGCCCGATGTAAGCTGGGATTGGCTCCAGCGCCCCGCACCCCTTATGCAGGATAAGCGGTTGACGATGGATGGATGGATATGTTGCCTGCCTCCTCCACACTCAGTCTTGTTTCTCCCTTCTGTGGAGCTGTCACCACAAAGATGAGTAGCTCCACCTGCAGCCTAGATCCCATCAGCTCTCATCAAGAACCGTCTTCCGTCCATCACCTCACTCATCATCAAAATCATTAATTCTTCCCTCACTTCCGGATGAGAAAAAAAAAAAAATCAGTCCCTACACCACTCAAACTTGCAGCTGTCACCCCCATCCTGAAGAAACCTGGTCTCATCCCTGACATCATGTCCATCTTCCGAAGTATCTCTAATCTCCCCTTCCAATATAAAATTCTTGAACGTGTTGTTGCTGCTCAAATTAAAACCCATCTCACCTCTAACTACCAGTTAAAACCATTTCAATCCGGTTTCTGCTCACAACACAACACAGCACTGAAACAGCCATCCTCAACGTCACCAATGACCTCCTCTCTGAGTGACTCTGGCCACCTCGCCATCCTCATCATGCTCGACCTCAATGCGGCCTTTGATACCATCAACCACTCCATTCTCCTGTCCAAACTGGAAACCTACTCCTCAGTCTGCCTGCCTGTATGTCTTCTCTGTTTTGTTGCACACCTGTACTCAGAGCCCCTTTTCCACAGCACGGTACCAGCTCAACTCGGCTCGACTCGACTCCACTTACCTTTGTTTGGTTTCCACTGTGAAAAGTTGGACCTGTACCTGCTTCCAGGTACTTTTTTTTCGTATCACCTCCTTCGAGGTTGCAAGCGAGCTGAGGCGATACTAAATTGTGACGTGACAACGCAGCAGACTACTGATTGGTCAGAGAGAATGGTCACTATTCACTGCATCATCATTGCGCGCGCCTGACGAGGGCAGCAGCGGAAAGTTTTATGTTTTGTTTTACTAAATCCACTTCTGAGAAGTTTTGAGGTAAGAAATCAGCTGTGTAGATTTCAAATATTGACAGCTTTACAAAAAGTGATGGCGGAACAAAAATGTGCTTGAAAGTTTTCGGAGTTGAGGAACTCCTCAAGTGGCGGCGGGGGAAGTGGTGCCGCCCGCTCACAGTCCTCTGGTCCTACTGTTACACAGACCGCTGCAGCATCAACAGTAGAGGACAGTACAGCTGTAAGGTCTTCATACCGCTGATCTGTGTTTACATTCTGAGCAATGTTGCAACATTTTAAGCAGCAGTTGTGTGTGGCGTCGCTATGACGACCAGCTACATTGAGGGGTACTATCTGCAATGGAAAGCAGAGCACGGCCAAGTCGAGTCGAGTCGAGTCAAGGCAAGTTGAGCTGGTAATGGAAAAGCGGGTTTAAAGACCATTCCTCTGGAAACGACGCCACTTCTGTCTGGAGGGGGTTCAGACAGATCACTAACTACAAACCCAAAGCCCCACACTTCACCAACGACTCTCGCCTGGCAAATGAGCTGAACCAGTTCTACTGCCGCTTTGAGGGTCAATCGGTCACCCTCCCCCGTGACGCTCAGCTTCAGCCCCAGTCCCCCCACTCCTCAAAGTTGGCCAGAGTCATGCCATGTGCCAGCCTGCTTCAAAGCCTCCTCCATCAGCCCTGTCCCCCAAAAAACAAGGACCACACGACTAAATGACATCAGACCTGTCGCCCTGACCTCTGTGGAAATGAAGTCCTTTGAACATCTTGTGTTGTCCCACCTTAAATCCATCACAGTCCCACTCCTGGACCACCTGCTGTTCGCCTACAGAGCCAACAGGTCTGTAGATGATGCAGTAAACATGGACCTTCACTACATCGTCCAGCACCTGGACTCCCCAGGAACCTACGCCAGGATCCTGTTTGTGGATTTCAGCTCTGCTTTCAACACCATCATTCCGGCCCTGCTGCAGGACTAGCTCTCCCAGCTGAACCTGCCTGACTCCACCTGCAGGGGGATCCCTGTCTTCCTGATAGACAGGAAGCAGCAAGTGAAGATGGGAAAACATGTCTCTGATACCAGGACCATCAGCACCGCTTCCCCTCAAGGCTGCGTTCTTTCCCCTCTTCTCTTCTCCCTTTATACCAACAGCTGCACCTCCAGTCACCAGTCCGTCAAGCTCCTGAAGTTTGCGGATGACACCACCCTAATTGGGCTCATCTCTGGTGGGGATGAGTCCGCCTACAGATGGGAGATCGACCATCTGGTGACTTTTTACCAAAGCAAATTCACTTGGCAATAAAGCTCCTTCTGAATTATCATGTGGCTTTCAGGTTTTTCTCAAATGCTGGCTATCAGACACATGACTGCATCTTATACAGAATGGTAACTTGGCCATCACTTACATTGCGCAGGATGCTACACTGGTACATTTTCATTTATAAAGCCATTTACACCAATTTACAGCCAAGTACATATCATTTAAAAGTGAGGGACTACTTTGGAAGGTACTAAGAATGAGGACAGAAGCAGGAAAGAGGAGTCTGTCTTGCTGTCAGGATGCGTGGTTGGGTGAGCAGGTTGGGGGACCCAAATGCAGGACACAAGGCTGACAGGTTCAGTTCAAAGGTTTAATTAAACAAAAGGCGAGCACACTTACAAACAGAGTGGCTGAGTCCACGGTATTCAAAGTAAAATAAACAATCCCAATGAATAAATAAACAAAAAACAGGCAGACATAGGACATCACAGGATAGAGCATTACAAGCTACAAAGACTGTGGGAAACAGGCAAGGATATATACACAGGGTTTACGAGCTGGGAGGAGACACACAGGTGAGGGACATGAGGCCAACGAGACACTGGCAGGCAGAGAGAGCAGGGGGAAACAGAGAGACTAGCAGGCAGGCAGATTACTGAGGGGTGAAAAGACAAAACACAAGTTACTCAACACTAAACATCAGGAGTAATATAAATAAACTAATACAAGCAGACAGATCACAAATAAACTAACACCAACAAGGAACACAGAGCAGACATGGGCAAAACAACACAGACCAGGAGTAAACACTTAAGACATGAACTAAAGGTACAGGACTAAGAACTAAGACACCGAACTAGGAACTAAGATACGAGACAAGACAGATATTAAGTAACTTAAAGATGTGGATGAATAATGCTAATAAAGGCTAAACAGAGACTAGAGCAAAATGATCAAAATCAGATTAATTAATGACATAAATAGACAAACAGACAGAACTCATGCATGATGGTACAGAAACTAATACATGAGACTGGAACAGAACTGAAATCAGGAAAATACCAAAACACCAGCTGAAAGATAATAACCAGACAATAACATCAGGTAGACGCACACTAAAGGTAGCAAGCAACCCTAAAGTCTAAACTAACAGCACAGCAAAAGGGATTCTAACTAATAAGACAGGGTGGCTAAAGGAGACACAGACCACGAAGACTGGATACAAGACCACAGACTATAAACTCAGATCTAAATGGAACAGATGACCGGACAAACATGTTGACACAAAACCAAACCCTCAGAATCTCAAAACCCAAAAACACAGCACTCAGGACAGGATCATGACACTTATTATAGCCCATCGTCCTGGAAAGAACTCCAGTCTAAGCTTAAGATTGGCGTGCCAATTTCTTTAGCTGCATTAAAAAAAAACAAGAATATCAGACATTCTAACGGACGTATGCACTTGTTTTTAATTAGTTAGATCTCTACAGTTATTCTTTTTCATTTAGTTTGTTTACATATTTAAATCATTGCATTTTTGTATATGTAAATATTTTTAATTCAGGAAACAGGAGATAAAGACACACACTCCTGTCTACATCAGTGGTGCTGAGGTGGAGCAGGCGAACAGTTTCAGGTTCCTGGGAATCAGCATCACAGAGAACCTGACATGGTCGTCTCACATCTCCACGCTGGTGAAGGAAGCAGAAACAAATGTATTTCTTGAGGAAGCTTAAGAAGGTCAAATTCCCTTTTTACAGGCTACACAAATAAAGGGCCAAAAGCACAAAGTAAGAGGATCCTTAGCATGTTAAATTGTGGCAGTACTGTCTTATGCCCTCCAGAATGGGCGTTGCCACATCCTGATTGGCCCAGAGGACACCTGAGATCACCAAGCTGCACTCAATCCCTGCTGGGGAGTCAGTGCAACACTCCTGTGCAACAGGTGCTCTGAATGATTCCTAATCAAGAATTAGAGTTGTGGAAATTCGGCAAAACTAATGGGGAAAAATAAATTAAAATAGCAGAAAATACATACGGACGGCTTCAAAATAGTGGTATGCAACCCCTCGGCTAACAGAAATGGTTTAATCCTTGTGCTCGGCAGCCAATGGGAATGTATGACATGAATTATTTGTTGTCTAACATGTTGTCAACGTGTTAAAAAGCACATATTTTTGACCCGGACAGACGTGATGCCTTTAAGAGGTTTTCACTGTAGTTTATGTCCTGTTGGGTAGCTTGATCTATTGCAATGCATCATAGTATATACGTTAATCATATGTTTTGTACTGTATGTAAAATCTTAGTCTGTAAAATATCTAGTGATGTAACTATAGCTGTTAAATTATTGTGACTTGACTTACTTGACTCTCTAACCCTTTCCTTTCTCTCCGAGTGGAGCACAAGTCATCCTCCTCCAGCTCCCCTCCACTGATCCTATGCCTTGTGGTAATGAGGGGATTGGACAGCACGTGGGCCTGGGTTCTTCAGTGTGTGAGGCTGTTGTGTCACTGTGAGACCTGGTCTCAGCATGGGCTGCGGTGTCCCTTCAGCTGTTTAGTGGCTCCAGAGCCCCCCACACTCCCTCCTCCCTGATTTCAGCTGTTGGAAGTAATCTGATATAACTCAGACCCCTGTAGCTGCTTATGAAACGCTTTGTGTCTACGACTGAGCAACAACTTTAAGGGTTATTTTATCATGCTCAGAACATATACTGAAACCAAATTCAAGTTTGTATTGTTTCTTTGTGTTTGACCATTTCCAGATAAAAGTGTTTAAATATATGTTGGCTATCATAGGTGACAAAGAACACAAAAGGATTAGAGTTTACCACACCACGAAAAATAAATCCCCAAGTAAAGTTTCTTAAGGGCAGAAAACTAGTTCACCAGCAGCAGATGTTGGTGCAGGTTTCAAAATGCACAACCAATCTGAGGCTCTCATGTCGGTACAAATAAACACTGAAATGTTTTTATGTTTGTTTTTTACTTAAATTCTTAAATAGTCTTATAAATATTATTCTTTACAGAAATGGGATTACACACATTTGTTACACTGTTTTCATTGATAAACTCACAGAACAGCTGGGTTGAAATTATGATGGAAAAACATTTCAGTCAAGCGGTCATCTATCACAAGACCAGTAAATCACTGGACTAGAAAAGGGTGTGAAGCTTTTAAATCTAAACAGTGTTGACAGTATCAACAGAACAACCATCTGGTTAGTCAACACTGACTGTCAAGAAAAATAAATAATAAGAATAATATATATATATATATATATATATATATATATACACACACACACATGTGAGGTGTGTCATTCCAATGTGGACTCGAAAAAGTTTTTAAATAGACACCTTGAGGGTCAAACGATCATATCTATCATATCTATCTATCTATGATGCGATGACAGCAAAACAATATACAAGCAGAAGTTTGAAGCTTGTTTTCACTGAGCAGCTGTTGGTACTTTGAGCACTATACCTCTGAATAAAGTTAACACTGAACCTGTTACTAGCATTAACAGAACAAACAAATTCTATTGAAAAATAAATAATTTATAAATGAATAAATAAAGAAATTGGCATTTTCATTTTTATACCCAGTGATCATGTACTGCAGCAAGTCTGCATTGTTGCTCCCAGTACTAATAACTGTGACACATTGCTCATGTCAGGTGATAATAACTGAAGTTGTGTTTTCATTACGGAGCTGCAGTATGCGCTATATGTTCCTCTCTGAGGAAAAAATCCCGCCCTGCTCTCTGTAAGGTTCCACTGCAACATAGCATTTAACAGACAATTTTGCCTTTCTTTTCCCTGACACTGGAATGTGAGCAAAGCAGACATCCACAGAGCGGTGGACGTGTTCAGACAGTAGCCCGGAGGCCTACAGATAGAGACTAATACAGCCGAGTCTAATGCATTGTGCCGGAGGACTGAACCCAATGCCTTTTCCTGTGATAACAAACTCACCTTACGTACTCAAAGAAGTTTTAAAGAAGCTATCAGAACCTGAGACACATATTGACAAATTTACATGTTTTATTAATGTTATAAAACCGACCAATCACAACTGTAAAACCAAGACATGTATCTAGGTATTTCTACCTAGAACTGCTGCATCAACAAATGGATAAAATCTTCTCTCTTGTTTGTGGCAGTGTAGACAAAAGCAAATCTGAGGTTAAGACACTTTAGTGATTATATTCAGCTGCTTCTTTTGTGTTTTACGGTTGTGCTATGGTTGAGTAGGCCTCAACCATACGAGCCTAGCTCTTTGGCATTGTGGTCATGTTGCATGTTTGGTACCCTGTAGACTACGGGTTCAAATCTGGGAGAGATTTGCCCGTCTGTCAGGGGAGTGCAGTGTGACAGACCACTGTCACCATGGTTGAGTATGCGCTGTGACTGCTGCACCACTTAGCCTGGGTCTTTGGTATTCTGGTCAAGATGCAATTTGGCACCCTGGGTGGGGTGACTGCTCTTTCTCCTCTGTCACAATCAATTAAACGTTTTGGAGTTTTTACATCATTATCGCAGTTGCTGCTTCTTCAATCTAACGAGCCTACGACCTACTCAGATGTGGAGACTGTGTCAGCGTGCACCGGCTGACAGCATGCAGTGATGAGTGGCACAGGACCAGATCAGATGTTTCCTCTGAAAAGAACACCGACTTCGCCATCTGGTGTTCATCATATGTAAGTGGAACATGCCACAACTCAGCTGATCCAGTCCATGTTTTTCAAGGCAAATACAAAGTTTGTTAAATTCGAGTTTTTCAGATTTAATTGTTCAATTCGTTCATTCTTTGTAATTTAGTGGCCCAGTGAGCTAAAAAAACTACTTCACGTAGGTTTGATTGTATAATTAGTTCAGCCAGTATGATCTTACTTTCTAGTAATGCAGACGTTATTCTCTCTTAAATGGATTAAATCACCTAGTAAGAACACCTTAGAGGAATACAGTTTGATTTATTTTCACATTACCAATTACAGTCTGCTTTACTCGTGGAGGCCTCACCTTTCTCTTACCTCTAAGCAGGATAAACCAAAGTCAACAAGCCTTCACTGAAACTACATGTGGTCATTATCTTGTCAAGTCCATTCTTGTGAGGCCACTACAGCTGGAGAGGGTAGTGACAGTGTGTCTGCATGAATGAAGGAAGATTTTCCGGCGGGAAAAACTTCGTTTTACACAGTTCATGTTGTAGTTTTTCACCTATTCACATCCCCTCCAGCTTCTGTCAGTGGAGGGCCATGCCCGTGGGCTTGACAGGTTCGTCTCAGGATACACAGGCTCTCTGTTCTCTCTGCATTGTTAAAATGTGTGAACGAGGGGGAAAGGAAAGGTTTTAAACCCAGAAATAAATAACAAACATTAAAAATGTGTTAAACCATTACACAAAATAATAAAGCACCCATTTATTATTATTATTATTGTTATTATATTTGTTGGATAGTTTTGGATGACACGGGTCCCTAAACATACAGACTGTAACTTGAAAATGAGTGGAATTTGTTCCCTTTTAGGACCTGGCGGAAGTCCCTGAAGTGAACTCCTCCAGGTCACCGCTCTCCCTCTCCACACTTCTTCTCTGCTTCCAGCGAGGCGCCGCGTCCCCATCAGCTGTTCCAGCAGCGTGCAGCAGCAGCGGTGCTGCAGGGAAGCGGTGAACAGTCCTTACACCCCGTTACCCCCGAATAGTCTATGTAGATTTCCCACTCTGTGTCAGTGAAAGAAGAGATGAAGATGAGGTACGTTTTTATTTCACCTTTTAGTAGCTGTTAGTATCGCGGTAAAGTTGTGAATGACTGCTTGCTTCCTCTGCAGGTGTTGCTCACGGCTGGAGCGCCTTCTCTGCTGCGTCCTTATTCTCGTCAGTCCAGCTGCATCGCGGTGGCCAGGTAAGAACTGATACTGAATATATAGCTTATAGCTTAGTAAACTGTACCTTCTTCTAGTAGTAACCTTTGCAGCATTCATAATGTGTTCTAGCGCCCCAGTTGTGTCGAACAGTTAACTTCTGTGCATTTGGTTTCTGCATCTTCCAATAAAATCAAGTTATCGCCATAATAAAAGTTTAAATATCAAAATACTAGCTTACATTGACAAAGATCCTTTATGCTGCTGGAATTTATCTTCGCAATTTAATTTGTTGTAACACCTTTATAAATAAGTGAAGACTGAGATTGGTAAAACTAGAGGCCACTGCATTTGCCCCTCAGTTTACACAAAAAGTAAAAGGACTAAACCTGAGGAAGCTCCACAACAGGTATGATGCTTAACTGCTGCTGTATGTTGAGCACGGTGTTCTTCATTGCTATCTTGTCTTTGGCTTGGATTGTATTTGTCGACTGCGTATTCTTGGCTCTACAGCACCTTCACTAACTGACTTGCATGGCTGCTACAAAGCTGGGATGACACATTGTCATGATTCAGTGATGAAACATAGTTTGTTCATTCAGACAAGGTCAAAGAGTCTTTGGGACTGTTAACAGGGTTTCTCCTGTCCAAAGTCTGCAGTGCTCAGAAACCTACATTCCTTCTTTGTACTTTGTCTTGCTCTGAGTCTGACCAGAGACTGTTGCTTGTAGTGGCTGCAGTTTACTACTGAAAAATGCTTTCCCCCCCTTTTACTCCGGTGTAATGACCTGTTAACACAAATGAATGCTGAACTTTAAGTATTTTTACACACACAATGCTAACAGTGTTAAAGGGCTATATGAGCCGCTGAATGAAAGAACTCTTTTCTGCCGCTGAATAATTTATCTTTGAACCTGTCATTCGTTTAATTTAGTAAAACTTCAGTTGGAGAAGTGTGTAGCTGTCAGACGATAGCGAGAGGAAACTGAGAGGACTTCGATTAATATTTGATTGACTGTGATCACCACCAGCTAGTAGCGGTATTTTAGGGGCTTTGGGAGAAGACACACTTGTATATATGTGAAATTGACCAAACCCCTTCTACTGCTCATTGTATTGTCTTTTGTAACTAACCCAACCACCTAGTACTCTGAACAGGTTTGATCAAACTCCTTTTTATGTTCTCTTTTATATAAACATATCAAATCTTGATAATACTCCATCTTTAACTTCAATGGAGGTCAGAACAGGTAAAAAACAAACTGAAAGAGCGTAAAACATGTTGCAAGAAACACTTAAACAGTGTGAGATTTTCACAGGAATGCTGTCCTGTCTGTGTGCGTCCTGGTTGAAGAGGCCAGACACTCTGTCTCAAGAGCAGTGCCTTCGGCTGCCTGCGACATGGTTGAATTAGGTCTGATTCATTCCCAGTCCCTGGCTGGGTCAGGAATCCCTATTGTCATGTGATCTTTGACATGCACCCAGCGTGGTTTTCCCCGAGGGGAGCAGGACGAGGCGGGGGGAGGGGAGCGGCTGTAGGGGGACACCCCACCGTGCCATTTAATGGCTGAATTAGATGCCACATTAAGAATCACAGCTGGCTTGGGGGTTTCTCCTTTTCAGTGCAGGGACATGATGACAGGCTTTCAGCGTGCTGGGAACAGATAACAAAACATTTTTAAAATCCCTACATTACTGTATTTGCTCCAAAGCATATAGAAAATACTTTAAGTAAGGAATCTATGTTTTTACTAAGTGAGGTACAAGCTTTTTGATTTAAAGTGCTCCTGTTTGAAGTGACTCTACAACTTCCATACAATTATCTTAAGCCCAAGTCGGTGATACTCCTGTTGTAGTAATATATGATGGAATAGTACGTCTGTTGCAGAGCACCGTTTGAAACGTCACGTATAGCTGTAGCATTTGCAGGATTACTTATGATACTACATGATTTAATCTACAAACTGTCTGTTTGTCCATTGTGGTTTTCAAAAGATTTTCATTTTCATTTTTTTTTAAGATATAAAGACTAACTGAAATTCAGTGATAGAGCGGGTCCTTGACTGAATTTAAACTTGACACATTGTGATTACATGCACATTATGTGCTTTGGCCCACCTGTGCCTTAGTATTATTTTTTTTGTGTAGTCAACGAATAGAAGCATTTTAATGAAGCATGACCCTGTATATTCCATAACCACAAAGCTAATTCAGGTTTACGTTGTGTGAGCTCGGTCAAGACAGAAGGAGTGAGCTGCAGGATAAGTGAAGAGCAGGCAATTAAGTTTTCAAGATAAGAGTGTAAAATCTGAATCTTCTGGGCAGCAACAGCTCAGTGTCAGGATATAAAGAATTACCAACGTACCAACAAATAAATCATCAAATGTATTTTGATTAATTTGAAAAATCACAGAATCATATGTTCTCAATGGACAAACTCCGAATTCCTAAAAAAGACACAATTGTAATATTCCAGACAGTAAGTACTCCCACCCTTTCAAGAACAAACGTCAGGTGTTGTGCGGTGAACGACTTTCAGATTGGTGGCTCTGATAGGATCATTTTAACTCTCAACTGAAATAAATGGACCGACTGTGCACAGATTCTGTTGACTCAGTGAACCTTGTGATGTCTAATCCCTGGATTTTCAAGTCAGTAAACCTACTTATTCATGACTGACATCTTGGAGCCTCATATAAAGGCTTGGGAGTTAATTCAGCATTGTTTTGTTACTGGATATTGTGTCAGCCACCAGTATTTAAAAGGCCATTAAACCTCAGGACGATGGTTTATATCTTTCAGTGTGGAGATAGCCTGGTTTGTGACTTTTAGCTTTGGCTTACATGTGTGTGGAGTTGTGGGTGGGGGTCATCCAAAATGTCAAGTAGATGTCTGCACCGCCCTTTCTGGCTCCTTTCTTTCACCGTTTTCAGTGGATTGACACTTCCTTTATGGGGTTATGTTCTTACTCGTGCCAGAATGGCAACTGTCTTTTGTCACTCACCAAGACACAATGCAGATACAAGCTCTCTGCTGATAATTTGAGTTGGAAGTTTCAATGCGCAAGTAGTGGACTAAAGACGCCTTTTAAAATTCCAACTGATGCTTTGCAGTAAAAACACTTGAGTCTATACGTAGCTGTTGTTTTTTTGTTTCGTAAAGACTGTCACAACGATGTTTTTATAAGGCCATTTCTGTCTGCCTCTTAAAACTCATACAGCATAACAGGACCACAATCTTAATGCAACACAGCTGTCAAAATCCAGGATCTCTACATGAGAAACACACTTTCTAAGGAGACTGAAAAGGAAATCTAGATATGGTGTAGTTTACTTTAATGTGGATGTGTTTTTGTCGGAAAACCATGGTGGTCACATCCTGCTTTGATTATTTAATTCAACCCATCTGGATCCCGTAGTGAATCTGAAGAGTTGTATATCAGCGCTGGACATTGCGAAACATGGCCCAGTTCGAGGATCACCCCTGAGTCACCAGGAATACTGTTTGACTTAATGTGTATGTACACGTTGGAAACGTAAAGTTGACGTGATTGTCACTTTGTTTTTCATGATTTCTATCTATCAAGTAAATATTGTGTATTCCCTGAAATTCTGGTGCCAAGATCTTAAGAAACACTCTTAGATTCTGTAGATGGTTTTACTATTAATAGTAAATAATAGTACTATTACTGATTAATACTAGAACTTTTTAGGATTGCTGTTTGTGTTGTTGTCACCCTGAAGGTGAGGTGTATATGCCCATTGTGTGTCATGCATCCAGCCCAATTTGAAACCTTGCAAGTATTTACATCAAACTGAACTGAAAGTTAGCAGATGTTATGGATGGGATTTTACAGAAATGACAAACATAAAAACTGACCCCAGTCAAACGAGTGACATGAAATAGAAATCTAATATTGTGACATGGAAATCTGACATTGATTGTGTAGACAACAAAGTTTTGTTAGCATTGTCATGTGTAAAGAAAAGCACTTGCAGGGCTTTGCTCTGTATTTGTTCTGTATTTGCGATTCCCTATCATCTTGGTTTTCAGGGCAGAGCGTCCTTTAGCATGTTGCTGACAGCTGTTATTTGTATTTTTATGTGTTCCCACCGCTCAGCGTTTCAGGTGCGCTCGGCTGTTCTCTCATGCTGTCCCTGATGTCAAAATGCTGGGTTGACAGCGGAAAAATACAGAGGGACACCATAATTACTGCTTATGCTCCAAGAGAAGAGGATTTGTAGGGCCACTTGCTCTGTACACCCAACTATCTCCAGCACTAATGGCACACTGAGGGCCTTGTTACCTCTTAGCACCTCTTTCCTGTTTGCGGTGAAACCCTACTTATTTGCTTGTCTTTCCCAGCCTTAATCGAGGTAACAGTTCATGGAAGGTGTGAAGCTAAGCTGTGCAAATAACAGGACTTCTGTTTTTTGTTGGACAAAATGAAGGGTGGTTGCATTATACAGCGCATAACAAAATTGGGACATAAGCGCTGTAGAGATAGCTTCTTCATATGTACATTGTGATTCCATTAACTTTGTTGCAGGACTACTGATAGACTAAAGCATGTTGAAGCACGCTACCAAGCCGCGTCAAGCAGCAAAAAGCCCCATAATGAAATCTGTCAAGGGTGAGCATAGCCACAGTCGCATTGCACTGTAAAGTAAGAAAACCATAATGCTGTTATAGACATATCAACCACGCAGATTACCCTGGCAAAGGGTGTACAGCCTCTTCAGAAAACATTACATTTCAAGCCAGACTTACTTCTCCTCTTTGTGGTCGCTTTGACAGCACTGTAAGCTGTAGCCTGGGTTAACACTGGTTTCCATGACCACCAGGTGCAGATTTTTCCACCACAAAGCCGTATTTGGCTGTAGCAAAGGAAACCAGATCCGTCTACCTGGCACTTTGTCCCTGTCTCCAGCTTTAGAGAGTGTTCACTTGTCCTCACTGACAGCCTGCTGAACACAGAGAGGCATGAAACAGGAGACCCTCCCCTCCACCCATTTACATTCTCTTGTCCTAAGAAACCTAT